TAGTTCACATTCCTCCAATTCTCCTTCTGACAAGAGATTCTGTAGTTGAACAGATTCTACTCGGGCTCATCTGAAGTCACACAAATTGATTTTGGAAAAGTCCTGTGAAGAGGTCAGTTCTGGTATCTGATCACCTTTAATATCTAAATGGAGAGGTATTTCCCATTTCTCATCTTCCACCATCCCTCCGATCCCCGCCCGGAAGATGTCTGATGCCCTGGCCTGCCTTCCGCAAGAGTCTTGTTGGGTTGGTTTCAAGCAAAAATTCCCCTCACCCCTGAGGTTTTCTATTAGTAATTTCCCATCTATGGACTCCTCATTCCGTTCCTTAGCTATCAAGTTCTCCGTGCCTGTTCTGTATTTGAAGTCGAGCCCAATCTTTCTCTCTTTCTCTCTTCTGCACTAATGCCCCATCATAGTGGTTGCTCTACTATTGTGAATAAAGTCTTCCTTGAAATGTCCTCCTTACCATATTTAATTATAATCCTTGACACTTTAAAATGCATTTTCCCTCTTCTCTCCAGTTCCAAAGCCCAGCAGCTCTCTGGGCTTCCCTTCAGTCCCCAAATGGGCTTGGATCATAGGACCACTCATCTCCATACTCACGCTGGTGATTTTTCACTCTGCTCTTTTTGCCCATCTCCACCCACTGCTAAACCAGGCTGTGTTTTCTCCAGTCCAGCTTCAGATTTTCCAAAGAGCAGGTGAAAGGAACTGCATTCTCTCTCCATGTGCTTTAATGGAACTGTGGTCCTGGTGTGGACTGGAAATTCTGGTATACATCCTTGTGACCTACAGATTTCCCCCCAAACTTCCTATAGCCAGTGCTGTTGTTCGAATGTGTTTGGTCTCTGGCAAAACTCATGTTGAAATTTGATTGACAAGAGAGTAGTGTTGGAGGTGGGGCTTTAAGAGGGATGGATGTCTTACTTTTTCTTTTTTTCTTTTTTTGAGTTGGGGGGGTGGTGGAAGGAAAGTGACCACAACACTCGGAGTGATCAAGAGATCTTTATTGCAGCAGTGCAAAAGAGGAGAAAAAGAGAAAGGGAGAGAGAGGGGGGCGGTGCCTGGCAGGAGGGAGTTTTTATAGCCCAAATCTAATGGGGTCTCTGGGTCTGCAAGCTGCCTTGTTGGCGTACAGTGATTGGGTCATACAGTAGTGTCATCTTCCGCCTTCAGGCAGAGGGGCAGGGGTCAGATGTAGGTTTCTGTCGCACCAGACCTGTGGGGGTCGAGTGCTCAGCCTTGAGTGAGGTTGAGTGTTCAGATTTGATGCAAACAGGTGATAAAGGACCAGACAGAGAGGGATTTGAGTACATGGGTTATCCTGCAGCTGACATTCGTTCAGCCTGCCCTGCAGACAACTTAGTTCAACCTTCCTGCACCTAACAGGGGATTACCATGGATTGAACTCAAGGGACACTGGACCACTGAGCCACATCCTCAGCTCTATTTTGTATTTTATTTAGAGACAGGGTCTCACTGAGTTGCTTAGTGCCTCCCTTTTGCTGAGGCTGACTTTGAACTCACAATCCTCCTGTCTCAGCCTCCTGAGCCGCTGGGATTACAGGCATGCACCACCTCGCCCAGCCTCTGATGTCTTTCTTGACAGACTAGATTAATTTACTTGGGAATGGAAGAGTTCTCATAAGACGAGGTTATTATAATAAATATAATGTAAATATAACATTTCTTTTGTGGCATTTCCCCCAACCTGGCATATCCTCTTGCTTTACTTGGCGAAGTCAGATCTATCCTTTTAGGATTAGGGACAGTTCCAAAGCAGCCCTTCCTGATGTTCCATCTGGGAATGATCCCAACATTCCTGCAGCATCCCCTTGTCCCATTCAGTCGGAACAGCACTTCTTGACGCGTTCCGCTCCCCTCAACACTGTTTCCCCTTGGTTTCCAAATCCCCCACTCTCCTGATGTCCCCCTGCCTCTCAAGCTGTCCTCTCTAAGGCTCCTGGTGCACATAGCCACCTGTCTTTGGTTTTTATAACACTGAAACTCCTCCAGGCTCCCTTCTGGACCTTCTTCCTACCCGCCCTTTTTTTTCCGGCTGTGGTTCCAGACCATTAAATGCCATCCCTCTGACTTCTCTTATCGTCCAGGGGCCCACTTAGGATCTTCACACAGATGCCTCAGAGGGCATCTCACTGAGACCTGATCCCTGTGCAGCCTGGCCCCCTTGCAGCATCCCTCCAGTGGACGGCACTACCGGCTCCACATGCCAGAAACCTGGGAGCCCTCCCCGGAAGCTCCTCTCCTGCGCTCCTCAACATGAACAGACTCCTGCCTTGATCTTCCATGTGTCTTCATGGCCTCTCCCCATCTTGTCTCACCTCCCAGCATCCTCAGCCTGGACTATTCCAACAGCACCTTCCTGGATTGCCCATCTATCTACTCATGCTCTAGTTGGGGTTGTCCTCCATGCTGCATCTAGAATGATCTTCTCAAAATGCAAATCGCATGGAGCTAGACAGGGTGGCGCCTGCCTGTAATCCCAGCTACTCAGGAGGCCAAAGCAGGAGGATCACAAGTTCAAGGCCAGCCTGGGCAACTCAATGAGATCCTGTGTCAAAATATATTTTTTTTTAAAGGGACCTGAGGATGTAGCTCAGTGGTAGAGAAATCACCTAGCATGCATGAGGCCCTGGGTTTAATTCCCAGTACCACAAAATAAATAAAATAAATAAGCAAATCTCATATTGTCATCTCTTTTACTTAAAGTCTACCAGCCATTTTCCATTGTCTAAATGATCAACTGCTTCTTTTCCAGATTAATTTTCTACCCTTCTGGCCTCCAGCTAATTGCTCTAGCATCCTGCCACAGAACCTTTGCACATGCAACTCCTACTGGGAGCGAGCTTTCCCTCCTTCCTCCTTCCAGGCTCTAGGAGCTTGCTACCACTATCCTTATTGCTTACTTCAGGGTAGTGTTGCCCTTTTTGCGGTTATTGGATCATGTTGTTTGTTTCTCTCAATAGCCTGTGAGCTCAGGCAGAGCAGAGCAAGGCAAACGAGAATACAGCATAAAAGAGAATTCACTCAGACCCAAGGACTACCACGCGTCGGGTGCCGTATGTTGGGTTGGAGACTGAAGAAGGCCAAGAGGAACAGGATTAAAACAGGAAAGTCAGTAGAATGAATCAGACAGAACTTTCCTATGTTCATATATGAAATGTCACAATATATCCTGCTGTCATGTATACATATCTATAAAGAAAAGCAACAAAAACCTCAAAGGCTTTCTTCTCTCACAGCTGTTCTCAGCAGCCTGGGCCCTACGCCTTGACTCCACCTTCTTCTGGGCTCCTCTTCCACCTGCCAATCTCCACCGTCTGTTCCTTTCCACTTTCGCAGCACCCCAAGTCCCCTGGCAACTTTGACTGCTGCCTGTATAATGGCACACCAGCCATCACTCAGTGGCTGATCTCACAATTTCTCCTAAGAATCTTCTGCTGGACTGAGTGACCAGCTGGCCAAGCTACCCTCCTGGAGCTGTGGTGTCCCCTTGGGCATGAGTTCCAGCCTCTAGGACACCAGATCAAGGCCATGTGCGGGTGGGGGGAGGGTCCCTGGCTGGAGAGCACCTGAAGGGGATAAAGGCTCTGCCTGGGCAGTCCCGCTGGCCCAGGCCACACCCAGGTCTTGAAGGGGACTGAGTCAATTTCAGTGAAGCCACTTTGAAGCATGGGGCTCCCCCAGGCAGCCCTGACGCCTGGCTTTCTGGAACCCTGAGCTTCACACACGAGCTCTGGGGGTGACATGCAGGACTTCTGTGACCAAGACTTGTCCATCAGGTCAGAGCTGCTTCAGATGGGGCAGGCTGATCTTGGCACTCTGTGTCAAGGGGCGGAGAAGCCCAGCTGTGGGTCAGAGTCCCCATCTCCCAAGTTTATCTGGACCATCTTCCCCTGAGCAGTTCCCACACGTTCTCCTTTTCCTGGTTCTCTGGGCTCCTCAACTATGGATTCTCCTCCAGCCACCAACCCGAATCCCCCCTACTCGTCTCCTTGGGTCCACACTGGCAGAACTGTGCTGCAGCCTAGCCCCATCATTAGCTTCTCTGCAAATCTTCTGATGGCTTCAACTGGCTTGCTCACTGTCCCTTCTCCATTGGCAGCTTCTGTCCCTCAACTAAATTAGTCACATCCTATCATTTTTTTTTTCTTTTTTGGTGCTGGGGATTGAACTCTGGGGCTCTTTACCACTTAGCTATATCCCCAGCCCTTTTCTTTCTTTTTGTACCAGGGATTGAACCCAGAGGTGCTTAACCACTGAGCCACACATCCCCAGCCCTTTTTATAGGATCTTGCTAAATTGCTGAGACTGGCTTTTGAACTTGCAATTCTTCTGCCTCAGCCTCCTGAGTTGCTGGGATTACAGGCGTGCCTTACCATGCCTGGCTGGACATTTCCATTTTGAGACAGGGTCTCACTAAGTTCCCCAAACTGGCCTTGAACTCACAATCCTCCTGCCTTAGCCTCTGAATGGCTAGAATTGTGTGCGCCATAATGCCCAGCTATATCCAATCTTTTTTTTTATGCTAGGGATTGAACCCAGGTACCTTTTTTTGTATTTTATTTAGAGACAGGGTCTCAGAGTTTCTTAAGGCCATGCTAAGTGGCTGAGGCATGATCTTCCTGCCTTAGCCTCCTGAGCAGCTGGGATTATAGGTGTGTACCATCACACATGGTGGTCACATCCAATCTTAGCATTTCAAGGTCTGGGAGGGAGCAGACAAAGCCTGAGCCTTCAGATTTTAGGCAGAGACCTAGCCTTCCAAATCACCATTTGCCCCCTTTGGCCCTTTCCATTTGTGCCTTCCACAGATTCATGTACAGAGGATGGAACATGTTTAAGAAGCTGAAACACGTTTCTAAGCCATATTCCCAAAGATGCAGAGCTAAGTGGATCCCACAGACCTTGGGACAGGCTTTTCACTGAAGCCTAGACCTCAGGGCCACTTGGCCAGTTATCACCAGTATTCTCCATTGCCAGGCTGAAATATTTATTTGAAAAATTGAAAACACAGATGCAATGTATTATACAAAGAAAGTTCTTAATACCATAATAAAAGTATTGTTGGAAGGAAACAAAAGCCAGTGGCTACCTGCCCTGGGAAGGTAGGCACTCAGTGAAAAATGAAATTTATTTATAGGGACTACTCTAATGGAGAACTGGGGAAGAGGTTAAAAACAGAAGAAAACCAGACCCAACCCCATCCCTGCAAACCTAAAGGTTAAGTTTGTTATAAGTTTGAGACATTTGTGTTATCACCAAGATTTAACCAAACCCCCTCGGTTTGTCCCTGTTAGTGGTAATCAGCTTTAGGGCTTTCAAACCTGAGGTAGTTGAGGGTCACCTGAAAGACATGTCTGGAAAGATCTACTCTCAGAATTGGATCCAATGGCATCTAACCCATTATTTCCCATTGCTTTGGCTCCTGGGGGCACAAGAGAGGCAGTGCCACCATTGTGTGTCACTGGTCCTGGGAGATGAAGGAAAGAGCAGCTGATGGCTGCTTTGGTTTGCTGCACTGGTGGCCGGCAGGCTCCATAGGTGGATCCCTATGCTACAGGAAGTCCGGTCTCTGCAGGACCAAGATGGCAGAGAGAAGGCAAAGCCACTCTGGTTGGAAGGCCCATGTTGGGAAGGCTTTCCTTGGGAGGATTTCCAGAGACGTGGAAAGGCGGTAGTTAGCAAGACACTTACCAGCTGTTAAAAACCAGGATGAAATGGAGCCAGGAGACCCCTCTATGCTAAGGAGCCAACCAGGAAGTGAGAACTTCCCAGGCTCCAGCTGAGAACCCCCCTTCCTCAGGGGCCAGAGGCCAAAGCAAACCAGCCTGACCAAAATGACATGTACTTATGAGCCCGTTATAAACCTTGGTGTCTGATTTGGTAGCGGAAACAACTCTAAGAGAGGACGCTCTGGACCGTTTGGTTCTTCCAGCCCCTGGGACTTGTATTCAAGGTGGGATCTTAGGGATACTGCTGTGGGCAGCAGAATCAGCATGTCATCTAAATTATTACCTAACTTTGTGCTCGGATGTCAAATAATCCCACGAAAGCAGGTCTTTTCTATCTTTCTGTTGATTATGTACACGAATATGCTAACTCTAAAGGTATTAGAGGACTGAATTACAAAATTAGATACCAGGTGCAGGTGTGCGTGTTAACTGCTGTCCAATCCTAAGCCATCACTGTGCGGCTGCCTGCGTGTGGGGACCATCTGCATTCACCCATGATACTTCAGCTACTAAGAAGGTCAGGAACTCATTGAAGAGGCTGTGAGGTTCATTTCCAGCTTTGAGATGGAATTTTTGTTTTCATCCAAGGTATTTCCCACCCACTCCTTTTTAGAAGAGCCAGACAGACAATTTGATTTGGGCTTGAGGATGGCACAATTTCTCATCTGAGCTATTATAAAAGGGATTAAGTGACATCTGATAGGTGGTGACACTGGGTCAGCCTGTGCTCTGGGGCGAGTGCCGTCTTGACTGTTTTATTACTTGGGCTGACTGAGCTCAGGAGGGTTTTTAAAATGACTGTTTTTAGAGCAAGTGTTATTTTAGGAAATTTTAATCTGTTCTGATATGCATATCAGAATAGATTAATTTGGGACATGTGGGTGTGCATGATGTAGACCACAGAAGCGAGGACTTGGTCCACCACCTCTGGAAAGGCTGACCCACACTGGGAACGCACCAATCAGCTTGACTGGCACAAGTGGGCCAGGGCACTGCACGCGGCGCCTTCTGAGTCTTGGGATGGAGAAACATTTCGCACAGAGAGGCACTGAACCCAGGACGGCCCAGATGCTGCCACAGACACCTCCTTAGCCCAGCACAGAGGCTGCACGCCTGAGAACGGTCATCAGAGTTCCTGGGGGACAATTTTTAGAGTGTCCCATTTAGAAAATGCAAGGAGAGGGCATGGGGGGTGGGTGGGAAGGAAAAGGGGGTTGATTCACAGTGATCAAACAGAAGTCTCACAACCCGTCATGTGGCCGACTTCCCGACACCCCTGGGGGCAGGTCCGAGGAAGCGCCTGCTGGCGACCACCTATGAGCTGCTACAGATAAGCAAGGAAGACGCCGTTGTTTCCAAGATCAGAAGGTCACTTAATGCTGGGTTCATCGGGAGTGGAAAAGTGCTGTGAGGCTGCCCATCTCTAGGCGGCTGTGCCCTCTGTCCAGGTCCTGTCACAGGGCAGCGAGGGCTGGGAACGTGTAGCTGGAAGAAGCCAGAGCCAGTGGTCCCCCTTTCTCCCGGTCCCTGCTCCGAATGCTCTGAGGAACCTGCTTGCTTTGGGATCCAAGCCAGGAACAGCCCAGGGATGGTCCCTTGCCCTGTGGGTGATCTCTGAAGACAGACAGGTGTCGAGGGCAGCAGATAAGCCTCGCCTCAGCCACACTGGCGACTGCGATTGCTCCAAGCATCTCTTTGTGGACCGCTGCTGCTTAAAGGAGGTTAGTAATAAATACGAAGGGTCCTTTCCTGATGGGAGCAAGTGGAGGTCTGATCTTCCAGATGTCGATCAGGTAGCACATGGAACTCTCTTCTTCAGGTTCAAGAGGATGCCCAGGCAGGACGCTGAAGGAAGGAACTGGAAACCCTCCTGCACTCCCCCGGGGCCCTGCCTGGTCTCCCGGAGGTGGCCTGCCTGCCACGGCATGGCACAGGCCATCCTCTCTAGGGAAGTAGTGTTGCTAGCACACCAGCTCCATTCAAGCATGTGATCAGGTGCGTGAGCCCCTTCAGGGAGCTCCCAGGAAGGGCGTCCCGGAGCCCTGTTGCCTGCGAAGGTGGACAGAGGTGCTCGGCTGGCCTCCAGCCTTAGGGAGGAAAGGCACTCGCTCTGCTTCCGCCTCCTGAGGAGAGCTGTGGCCCACCCCTGGTGAATGGCCTCTGCTGACCGGCATTCGCTCAGCGGGACACTCAGCGAGGAGGCCGAGCTGGAGCACCAAGGCAAAGTCTGCGTGGCACCAGGGCTGAGGCTGCTGGGGCGGGGGCCCGGTGGCTCGGGGCTCCAGGGGTGTCCTTTGGAAGAGTTGGCTGAGTGACTGAAACTTTCAAAATATAAAACCAAAAGACCCAAACGACCACCATGAGAAGCACTGGGAATCCGCGGGACTGCCGAAGGGGGCGCGCCACGGTGGCCTTCTCGGCCAGGATACTCCCACCATCCCAGTCACTGACGCGGGCAGCGCCCTGGTTTGGAATCCACCGGCCCTTGAATGCTCGCAAGTTTGTGCAAAGGATGAAACGGAAAAGACTGAGAAGGAAAAAGAAAAGGAGAGGCATCAGTTCGTCCTCTCCCAGTCCCTCTGAGGAGGACACCGGCTGCTACGGAGGTAGAGCAGAGCGCAGGACCGGCTGGTGTCCTCCCCAGGAGTGCCCAGCTCCCCCCGCCTCTTTGGACTTGGGCTTGCACGTGGACAGCGTGGGCCAGCCTGGATACTGAGAGGTGGGGAGAGACAACAGATCATGGATTCAATCGGGGAGTCCCTGAGGAGGGGGTCATGCAGGTCCCCGGTTCTAGTCAATGGGAAGGTGTGGGACCGGGTCTGTGGCATCACAAACACAGAAGGGTGACGAGCATTTACACTCTGACGTGTGGGGCGCGGGTTTGGCTCTACTCTTTCTCGGGGACGGCTTCTTGCAGTGTAGATGGAGACGCTTCTGTTCCTAAAAGACAGTGATAATCTGTAACATGGCACTTGTGAACCAACCCCAACTGCCACCATAACCATGGAGCAATCATCTGTCCCCAAGTTCAGTGTCTAGGAAACCCCAGGAGGTATGTGTAGATGGTCCCCAGAGTCGGTCAAGTCTACCAGGAACCAGAGGCCTTGGTGAGATCCGGCGGCCACTCTGGATGTGTGGAGAAGCAGCACAGAGACACTGGCTGAGGGTGGTCTCCGGGCTGGAGGCCTAAGTAAGACCCCATCCCACCCCGTCTCTCCTCCTCAGCTCGTCTCTCGGCCATCGTGGCCTGTTGCTGGCTGTGGACAGTCAGAACCTGACCATTATTCATCCACTATGGCCTCCATGCCGGGAGGAGATGAAAGTCCCAGGGTCCAACCTGGCGAGTGGCCTGGGAAGGCGTCGGGGAGGGCGAGTGCGGGATGAGGTCCCTGGTCAGTGTCCAGGCTGCAGCGTGGGCTTCCCACCCACTGGGTTACCCCGCTTTAGACTTGAAGGTTACCCCACGGGCGCGAGGACCCCGGACTCTGGTCCCTGTCTCACGGGGGCCAGCTCACCTTCCTCCCAGCCCTCGGCCACGCCGGCCAGCTCATAGTGCTTCTTGCGGAGCTCTCCCAGCCGCTGCCGCTCCTTCTGGAGGTCGTTTTCCAGCTCGAGCACCCGGACCTGTCGGAAGGGAAGTGGTTTTCTTCTTCTACAAGACCTGTCTGGTTTGGACCGAAGCCCCGTCCTCCGTGAACAACTGGACAGGACCACAATGACAGGACGACTTGGCCCACAAAGGTCACCCTCGAAAGCTGAAACCTACACGGCCAGAAGAGCCCAGCGGTTCAGATATAGGGAGGACTATTCCAGGCAGAAGGGAGAGCAGGGCCAAGGTCCAGAGGAGGAAAGGGCTTGAGGTGTCAGGAGAATGGAAAGAGCCCCGCGTGGGTCCCGAGAGAGGGAGAGGGTCATGAGATGGCTGAGACACAGGCGGGATATTGTCCTAGTGTAAAGCAAAGGCACTGGAAGGTTCTAAACAGGGAGGTGACCTGTGGTCCTGTGTGTTTTTAAAATATCACATGGAGAAGGAGTGGACAGTGGCAGGTCCAGAGTGGGAGCACATTGGCGCCAGCCAAGTGGTTCCTTCCTTGTTTTACAATTAAAATTGATTAGAGTCAACGTAAAGCATGCAGAAGGACAGAGGCAGCCGGTGCCTTCCGCCCACCTCCACCAACTCTCCGCTCCCAGCCGGACGGCCTCAGCCCCCCGACCTGGCCCTGCACTGGACGATGTTGAAACAAACACTTGTAAATGCCAGGGCCAGCTGCTCTCGCAGGTAGACGATGGTGGCTGAGACCAGGGGAGGGAGATGGGCGACAGTGCAAAGAGTGAGGTTGTTTCTCAAGACTCAGAGTCACAGGATTGCTGGCTGGGAAGAGAGGGACCATGGACGACCCCTACTTTTGTGGGTCAGCACCCAGGTGCTGGTGGCAGTGCATTCACCGAGAAGGAGACAGTGGGAGTGGGGACCTGCTCTGCAGGTTCTGTTGAGATACTTATGTGGCATCAAATGGAGACCAAGCAGGAACTGGGAGCAGAGAGTAGACCTAGGCTGAGGAGAATTTGGTGTTTACCAGCATTAAGATGGTGTTTAGCCAGGTGTCGTGGCACACGCCTGTAATCCCACCGGCTCAGGAGGCTGAGGCAGGAGGATTGTGAGTTCAAGCCAGCCTCAGCAACTTAGCGAGTCTCTGAGCAACTCAGCGAGACCCTGTCTCCAGCGAGGCGGGGAAGTGCTCAGTGGTTGAGCATCCCTGGGTCCAATCCTCAGAACAAAGATGGTATTTAAAGCCAAAAAGGACGGAATAAAACCACTGAGCAAGAAGTCTTTCAGTATATACACGGCAATGTGGCTACGTAAGACGCTGAGTGACTATCTATAGTACTTCAATAATCCCAATCTGAATTTTACCCCAAGACCAGTGGAAAGATGTCAGATTTTTTTCCTAGGACCCCACTGATTGCTGTGCTGCATAACTTTACTGAGCCACAGAATGAAACGGCATCACCTTTGATGAAGTTACAGTGGATCCACTTTTTTCTTTAAAGTTTATTTCTAATTTGTATCAGCAGTTTTTGAAAGAACTGCCTATAGTAGGACTAAGTTTGTGGATTGCTCCAAGGTCCCTGATCACTAAGGGTTAAAATTCTGGAATCTACTAACCACTGCTCCCCGCCTCCAGCTTCCTGCAGTCTCATTTATTTTCCATCTTAGGCTGAAAGTGCACCTGTGTTCATCCCCTGCCCAAGGGTCTCTCTGGCTTTCCTCCAGGGGATAGGACTGGGGTTGCTCTCACCTGGGAATCCATCTCCTGGCGTTTGATCTGGGTCAGTGTCATGCTTGAGAAATCCATATTGTCTGCAAGGACAGAAATAAGAAGGCCTTATCACACGGTGTCCCTGGCCGACGCTCCCCTGAGAGGTGGTGACACCAGTGTTCTGCTGAAATACCTGGCTGGCCACTGGCCAAGATGTGTGTGAAAGTAACGGAGGGATTAAGGGGAAGGAAGGATGAAGAGATTGTGGGGCAGCCGGGATCTGACCTCTCCAGGGCCACCAGACTCAGAGCAGAGAAATGACAGAATAGAAATCTACTTAAGGGCCAGTTGCTGCAGCGGCATAAGCAGCCTCGTACTGTGCCCCACCTGGTGAGGAGGTGAGCTGGTGGGACAGAGACGGAAAATGACAGCTTACAACAGAACCGTGGGAGGGCGGTGAGGAGGGGTGTAGAGAACGGCTACCTGTCTCCTCTATCTGTGATTTGCCCGAAATGGTGGAGGCCACGACCCCTGCGGTGGCCTGGTTCACTCCCCGAGAGGCCTGCTGAAGCTGGGCGAGGTTGGGACTGTCCTTGTCAGCTTTCACCTGCCAGGATAAGGCAGATTAGGCTCACCACACCAGGAGCAGCAAGGCTGCTCAGACAGCTGGTCTGAGGGCTCGAGACCCTCTGTTGTCGCCAATCAACTTCTCTGAAACTGCTGTCTGTGGGGTCAGTTCCTGGTACGTCCCCAGTCTAATCGATTACTCCTGGCTTCCTGGCCAAACTCTAGCTTTCTCGCTCATTGATCGACTCTTCCAGTCGTGAAAAACAATTTGGGGCTGGGCACAGTGACACACACCTGTAATCCCAGCGGCTCAGGAGGCCTAGACAGGAGGATCGCAAGTTCAAAGCCAGCCTCAGCAACTTAGTGAGGCCCTAAGCAACTCAGTAGGTTTAATTCCTGGTATCAAGTGGGTGGGGGGAACCCAACAATTTGGGCAGCAAGAAATAAGGATGAATGAAGACCAGTCACTGAGTGGGACCCTGGGCTCTGGTTACGAGCTGTGTGTGAGGACTGGCTGGGGCAGGGGTTCAAGTCTGGAGACCAAGGAGGAGAGGCAGACTTGGTTATTTGGAATCACAGAGCCACGCCAGGTGACCTGATTTATCACTATGCTGACTGGCTCCCTATCTGAGGTTCCTTAAATGCCAGGACTGCTAATCAGAAGCTGGCCAGGCTAGGACCCTCTAAGGCCACTTGACAGGAGTGAGGAGATTGCAGGAGAGCCTGTGGCCAGCTAAAAAGGGCTCCTTCTGGATTTAGGCCTTCAGAAGAGTGGGGTATGGGACCTCTAGAGGCAGAATTTTTGTTTGGGATTCAACCGACCCAGAAGGTATAACCCATCTGTCCTTGGGGTCAGTCCCACTTCAGTGTCCTGCAGAATCCAGCATGGGTCCTACCTTCGATGCCGCCACCAGCTGGGCCGTGCTAGCAGCAATTTCATGCGAACACACCATCAACTCCTCAAACTTCCCTCTGCCTTGTACCACCAGGTCAGCAGCATCCCTGGCAGTCAGGAAGGAGAGGACAGACAAGGTCACACGTGGCCAAACCCCTACAATCCCGCTGCCGGCCCAACCCTGGCCAGACAGGTTCTGCCTTTGCCACACCTGGGTTCACCAGGAGACCCAAGGTCCCTTTCAAACTCATAGCCCCACTGTCCTATCAATCGTTCGTCAGGGGACAGATCTTTCTATCTCCTTTCGCTGTTCCCTGAGGTGGGTCAGTGGAAGGGGGTTGGGAAGGAGCCCTGGCCCCACATACTTACACCATGATGGTGGCTCCCCAGCCCACGGCTTTGGAGGCTGAGATGAGTCCCTCTGTCCACCGAGAGTTCTTGGCATAAAATTCTTTAGGGGATGCAGTCCCCTGTGGAAGCAAAAGATAACTGTGCTTTGGGGACTTTTACCTATGGTGTCCCACCAGGTCTTCACTGTAACTCAGAGAAGCAAGCATCATTATTCCCACTTCAACGATAAGAGAACTAAGACGCAGGGAAGCAAAAGTATTCTTCCCAAGGTCACCCAGGAAATAAGGGGAAGTAAATATGGGGATTTCTTGACACCAAGGCCTGTGGCATTTCTATAACGTCATTGTGTGTCTGTAGTTGGCCCTCAGTACCTGCAGAGTCCACGTAAGGATTCAACCAGCTGGGGATTGAAAATATTTGGGATAAAAACCCCGCATCTGTACTGAGCATGTGCAGACTTTTCTTGTCATTATTCCCTAGCATTCACACTCTATCAAATCAGGTATTACATTGGTGTAAGATTATTATATTATAGTCTAATCATAATTATAATACATTATATCAAATCCGGTATCAGATCAGTATGTATAAGTTATCTAGAGATGTTTTAAAGTATATGGGAAACTGGGGTTGGTGGCACATGTCTATTATCCCAGTGGCTCTGGAGGCTGAGGCAGAAGGATCACAAGTTTGAGGCCAGCCTCAGCAACATAGTGAGGCCCTAAGCAACTTAGTGAGACCCTATCTCAAAATAAAAAATAAAAAGGACCGAGGGTGTGGCTCAGTGGTAAAGTGCCTCTGGGTTCAACCCCCAGAACCTACTCCCTGAAAAAAAGTAAATGGGAGATGTGCATAGTTATGGGCAAACACTGTGCCATTTTATATGTGAGCCTGGAGTTCCTGGATTTTGCATCGGGAAGATCCTGGCAGTTCGCTGTGTCCACTGAGGGCCTGTACATTCTGTGAGTAACAGGAGTGGTTGCGGTCTGAGGGAGTCTGCAGGCTCTCCATGATTTGCCAAGAGGATGGAAGACAGGGAACACTTTTCAAACATGATTTCTGCTTGGATTTTAAAAAGGGGTTTATGCCTTGGAAGAGTCTGAGAGTGTGCAGAGGCTCTTGGTTGGCTGCATCTTTTTACTGGAGGAACAGACCCCGGAGCTAGAAGCAGCACCTCTGGGGCAGAGAGACTCTTCCTCTCTGGGACGAGTCAGGCTCTGTCCCTGCCCTAGACAGCGCTCTGCTTCCCAAGCTGCAGCTGTCACAGCATATGAGGGGCCCACAGGCCAGCGCCAGCCCCAGCAGAGGAGTGGGAAGGAACCCAAGGGACATGTGGGCCAGGGGCTGACAATGGGCTCTCTGGGGCACAAGCATGGGCTGACTCTGCCACTGGGTGCAGGCCGGCTGCGCCCTTGTGCACGGTGAGCATGGCTGGCCCTCCGTTATCTGCAGGTGCAGCCAAACACAGATGGAAAGTAGTTTCAAGACACTGTGTCTGGGCAGGGGCTGGGGCTGAGCAGCAGAGCGCTTGCCTAGCATGTGTGAGGAGGCACTGGGTTTGACCCTCAGCACTGCATATAAAGAAAGAAATAAAATAAAGGTCCATCAACAACTAAAAAAAATATTTAAAAAAGTACTGCATCTGTACTGAACAAACACGGAGGGATATTTTTCTTGTCGTTAATCCCTAAACAATGCAGTGTGACAGCTATTCCACAGCCTCTGGGCTGCACTAGGTATCATCAGTCACCTGCAGGGCAAGAGCGTGCAGGAGGGTGTGAGCAGACTCCACGCCAACCCTGTGCCACGGGGTACAAGGGATCTGATCACCCAAGGGTTCTGGAATTGGGGAGGGTCCTGATACCCGACAGACACCTAGGGGTGACGGCTCAGGCCTGCTCCTGGGGTTCGCCCAGGTTCCACACTTCCTCCTCAAAGGACCTGGAGTGCAGTGTGCACGGGGTTCCCACAGCCAGTCCACCTGAGGTGTGCGAGCTGCAGCTGGAAGCTGTGGCTGGCTGCCCTTTTGTGAGTGGGGAGGCCCCCTAGTGCCTGCTCTTGTCCAGATCAAAAGACTGCTGTGGACATAGGACAGGCCCGCAGCTCAGCTGGACTCCAGGGGCTGTGGGGGAGCCACGGTCAAGGCCCATGAGGCCTGCCTCTGGGCTCCAAGCAATGCTCACCCTGCCGCTCTCCACGATCTCCCTCTGTAGGTCCTTCGAGGCCACAATCAGGACCTGGATGGCCTGCATCAGGCTGGTGCAGGAACCGAGGATCCTGTTGAAAAGAGAAAAATGAACAACAAACATGTCAGACACAGAGGCCAAGACAAACTCTCCTCTTCGTTAGTCCAAGCTACAGCCGACTTGGAATGGGAAGGAGAAGCAGGGAATGAGCAGAGGTTGCTGGGACACCGACGAGGTCGAGTGAGAACCCCTGGCTGTGGATTTGGTAAGGAGCAGCCGGTTGTGGTTCTTGGGGGTCTGCTGGCCCCACGCTGCAGTGGGAGCCCAGATCTAGTCCTAGAGGGCACACAGGGTATGACCTGGCACTAGGAAGTTGGATTCTGCTCACCTGGGCACCGCTGTGTGGCTCGGACTCACCTTTCATTCACCTCTAACTTCACTCCTGTGTCCCCTGCTCGAGATTTGCTGAGCATTTCCTGTTAAAAGAAGCTTGGTTTCCACATGGGCCACCTCCTTCTGGAGTACTGAGAGACCACAGTGCCCTTCTGTGCCTGCTCCCACGTGCTGTGGTAGCTCAGAATCCCGGATCTGGATGTCCCCATTTGTGTCCTTGCGGGGTTTGGGGAAAGAGCCCAGCCCTCTCATCTACTGGGGGTGGGGGTGGGCGCAGCTGCAGCAGGTGCTCTGTGGTCAGCAAGAGTCTTGACCTTCAGGCACTCAGGCTGATGTGCACAGAGCTGGCTCCCGGTCCTCAAGGCAGGTGCTTCCACCAGGGCAAGTGGCTTGAGTCTCCCACCAAAGGGGCAATATGTGACCTTTGCAATGGTGCCCACTCAGCTTTTTGTGAGATTTGTTACCACGGATGAGGGCTGCCACTTAATGCTTCTGGGGTAGGTGTCCTTATCACTGCCGTTCTATAGACAAGGGGCTGAGTTTGGGCTAGGTGGACATAACTCACAAGTCATGCAACCTAATGAGCGGCAACCTTAACCTGAACCCCGGACATTCTGACACCAAGGCACCTGACCCGTGAGGAATCTGCTCACCTTCCTTAAGTGACGACCTCTTGTTTCCTGCCCCTCACGGATGCAGTGATTTGGGTTTGGGTTTCTTTTATACGGGCCTTTGTAGCCTTCGTGAATGACCAAGACACGTCTAAGGGGCAAGGTTGCCCAGAAGCAGCTGCAAGTGTTGTTTAGAAGATCTTGCACTCACGTCCTACCTCTATCCGAGCTGTGGCAGCTTCAATGGCGGCCGAAGTGGCGGCCATCTCCTTGTCCACGAGGTCCCCCAGCTCCTCCTGTTTGATGTCCAGGCCCATGGGCAACAGCTCCTGTGAATGGCATTACAGAGAATGACACTTTGACCTCTGCTCTGATCTTTTGTAGACCTTCTGAGACAGAAAGGGTAGGAGGCCCCACAGGTCATGGACCCCATCTGGAACTGCGTGTTCCTTCCCTTCTCCTCTCACTCAGAACCCCTCCTTCTAGGAAGCCAGTGTCTGACTCCAAAGCTCCTTCAGCTGCAGCCGCTCGGGCCCTCAGGCTCATATTCACACACACAGCTGTCCCTGCAGCATGGGAGACCTTGGTATCTTTACACAGTGTTCCCCAATAAGCCCGACCCTTGCTTCCACAGCAACCCGCTGAGGCAGTTCCTATTCCTGCTGTACAATGGAGGCCAAGGTCCAGATGGGAAACACCAGACCAGTCACACTGCTGACAAAGGGCAGGCAGGGGTCTGATCACATGTCTAACTGCTGCAAAGCCCGAACCATCGTGTGTGATCCATACTAGAGCACACAATTCTAGGAATAGTTTAAAGAGTAAAAATGGACTCCTAAACACTATGCGATGTACACATATATGAAAACCTTCGGTATTCCATTGATAAGTACAATTTTTTACATTTTTATGTTATCAGTTTAGAAATACATTTTTAAAAGAAAAAATACTCAATGTTACCCACCACTCAATTTAAGGACTCGTTTATGAAGCATTATCATTTGGAAATGCATTACCTTTGAAATCCCCTTTGTATGCTGCCTGGATTCTCTCTTCTCCCTTCCTCCCTCTACTCCAAGATAAACAGAGGTCAGGAGGGTGAGGGGGGTCACTTTTTTTTTTTTTTTTTTGGTATTAGAGATTGAACTGAGGGGTGCTTTACCCTAAGTGCTTATTTTTTATTTTGAGACAAGGTCTTGCTAAGTTGCTGAGGCTGGTCTTGAACTTGCTATCCTCTTGTCTAAGCCTCCCAAGATCTGGAATTATGGGCCTATGCCATCACGCCTAGTTAAGATTTCATTTATAGAAGGTCTATAACTAATGGTATATTATTTAGGCAGAAAAAAAGAGGACATGGTCTATTATCTTTTCTATTATCCTCCTCTAGAAAGCTAATTAGGCATTCTTTTTTCCCTCTTAATAATTACATTCCAATTTATAGAACCACTGCCACACTGTGAAATTCTTTCACTTCCATCATCCAGTTCACTAATCTTCTCTTTAGCTTTGTTTAATCAACTGCTGAAATTGGATACCAAGTTATCACTTTTTTTTTTTTTTTAATAATGATTTAGTTTACAGATTTTTTTTTTGTTTAGTTTGTTTACGTGGTGCTGGGGATCAAACCCAGTGCCTCATGCATGCTAGGGAAGCACTCTACCACTGAGCCACAACTCCAGCCCCCAAGTTATCACTTTCAATGATTATATTTTTCATTTCTAAAAGTTCTATGGCTCTTTTCCAAATATTCCTTGGTACTTCTGAAAATAGTTTATTCCTTTGTCATGTTTATTACCTTTAAAAAATGTCTTTAAATGCATCAAACATACTTACTGTAAACTTACATTCCTTGGAAATCTATCTGTGAACCTTCTTTGGGGTCTAAATTCAAAGAACATTCCTCTATTGATAGCTAGGATCTTTTGCCAGGTACCTAGGCCTCTCACATCCCAACAGTGTTAATTTTCTGTTTGGGGTTTTCCAGGCCATATAAATAGTATGAAATTGGACCTTATATCCATGGTAGCTTGGGGTTAAAATTTCTCTAGGGACCTGTTTCTTCTCTCAGAACCAAGGAAGAGAGAAGTCTCTTCTGTAGGGCAGGTTCTGGGTACACTTTCATTGCTTTTTGAAGTATGGCACATGAATTCGTGCCTTGAGGATGACCCCACTGCTCAAGGTGTGGTCGATTTAGGATTCCTTTTTTGGGAGGCAGGATTTCCATCTCCACCTTTTGGCCTACTCAGTCCTAAGTCTTGTTTCTTCTCTCCTGTGTCATATGTGTGGCTGATCCAAGCTCCAGGTCAGCAGAGAGGGGCAACGTCTGTAGGACAAATGCTGACTCTAGCAATCCTCAGGACTTCCTTAGCTTTTAGCCAGTTTGATCACTCAATTAAAAAAATAATAATAATAATTTAAGTTTGTCCAGCATTGTCCATGTCCTGGGAAAGATTATTTGAATACCTGGTCAATCTATTGCCAGAAAGGAAGCCAGTCTGTGACCTTCTATCACACTTCTCTTTGCTTTCATTAATGTAATTTTCATGTCCTCATAGGGTCCTCCATATTTACTTAGTCCTAAAGTTTATCTAACTGGGCAACACACTGAGGAGGCTCTCCAGCAGGCTCTGCCAGTGCTGCCTATGCCACCACCTCCCACTTAATCACTGCCATAAGATGATTTTAATGCTGAAGCAGCAAGGTGATCATGCCATCTGGGTGGGAAAGAAGCTAGCAGCTCCCGACTGTTGGCCTAACTACAGCCATCTTTATGCACACTGTTCTTATTCTCAAGAGACAGAAACTTTCTGGTCTCTGTTCTCTCCTTGATAGATAAAAAGTTGCCCATCTCTGTTCCCAAGAAATAGTAACTTGCCATCTGCAAAATCAGGTGATGTTTGCTATGCCAGTCACAAGGTCTAAACCCGCCCCTAACGGACGGCCATGATTCTGGCCTATAAAAGGTAATGCTCAAAGGGGGAGCTGCTGCCGCTCTCCCTCTCCTGCCACTCTCCCTTGCTTGCTGCTTCTTTCTCTCTCCCTCTCTGGGTAGAGCAGCCTGTCAGGGGCCTGACAATAAATCTGCTGATGCCTCTGTCCTCGGTGTGCCCGTAATCACTCCTGTGCCAGTTTGTTTCACCCTCCACCTGCAGTCCAGGGCTCTGGGTCTTGTGCCCACTTTTCTCAGCACGTACCTTCCCCTGTCTGCTCTCCTCACGTGGACATCAAGCAACAGAACACTTGTAGGTCTCTACCACCTGCCAGATATGCTGGAGGCTAAGAAAGTCAAGGCCTCTACCTCTGAGGACTCACCTGGAGAGCATCAGAAAGGTAAGCAGATGCATGACAGTGCTGAGGGCAAGGGGAGGGGGAGAGGGCCCAGCAAGGTGAGATAAAGGCCAGAGAACAAGATCCTTGTATGTCAGGCTGCATACTTTGATTTTTGTTATCAACAAAGAGCTATCATCAAAACTCTGTTTTTGGAAGAGAGCAGAAGAAGGAGGCAAAGAAAATGATCAGAGGGAAAGTCCCAGTGGGGGCTGGGGATGTAGGTCAGTGTGGTCAGTGGTGGAGTGCTTGCCTAGCACGGGCAAGACCCTGGTTCCACCTAGGAACAAAAACAGAAACAGGGTGTGGTACCCTCACCTATGATCCCAGCTACTCAGGAGGCTGAGGCAAGAGGATCTTGGGTTCAAACCCAGCCTTAGCAACTTAGGGAGGTCCTGTCTCAAAATAAAATAAAAAGGGCTGAGGATATAGCTTAGTGGTAAAGCGCCCCTGGGTTCAATCCCTGGTACAAATGCAAAACCATGAGTCCAAATGGGAGATGAGGAGCCCTGAGCTCTGGCCCCGACCCCTTCTTTCCCTAATCTTAGGGCACATTTTAGGAATTAATTAAATGTTATCTAATACTGTACTCTTCACATAGATCTCTATTATAGCTCTTACCACACTGTAAAGTAATGGCTACTTTTCTTACTTTTCCTTCCCATACAGTTCACATGCTTTTGACCCCACGTAACTCCACCTAACCCAATGCCTGGTACGTGGGACTCAGTCACTCCATCTTTATTGAATGTATAAATATGCTCTTGTCTCCACTGTAGGTGTCACCTGCCCAACCAGATAACAGTCCTTAGAGACAGCAAAACTGCTTATCCTTCTGTGCTACTGTCTGGCATGGTGGCGATGACAGTGCCTTCTCAGTGAGCAGCCAGTGAGCTCAATATGGCTGGAAAGTGCTTCGGGAGGTTGGCCTTGACTCGTATGTGCAGAAAGAACTGGCCGTGGCCGGAGTGTCACGGCTCCCCTGGAAGCTCAACAGCTTCCACACCTACGAGTGATAATCGTTCTCCATGACAGTAACGCTGAGGATACCTCGCCGATGGCCTTGATCTTTAAGAGGCAGGTCCTCATGGTGGTGCTGTCTGCTTTCTCCAGGGCTTCCTCTTCCTCCAGGGAGGCCAGATAGGCAAGAGCCTCCCTGCCATACTGCTTACAGGCCTCAGTGAGAGCTGGAGAGGCAAGGGACAGTGACTCATGGCCCCTGATGGCCCTCTTCCAGGGGTGGCCCCTCCTCCCCAGTACTCACAGTCAGCGGGCTCGGGCGGGGCCCTGAGGCTGGTAGTGCTGCCATGGGCCAGGGTCTCACTGGTCAAGTGGGCCAGCAGGGTCAGTGAGTGCAGAAGCCCACCAATATCTGCAGAGGAGAGAAGGAGGGTCCCTCAGTCAGGTCCAGGTGTCCTGTTCAGACCTGCTTCCTCCCTGCTTTTCTTTTTTAACCTGTGACTTATTTCTTTTTAAAATTTATTTATATATGACAGGGGAATGCATCACAATTCTTATTCACCCTCCCTGCTTTCGAGTCACACAGCACCACGTCTGACCACTCTGAGCCCAGCCTGGCTGCCCCTAACGACAGAGCCCATTCTTTGGCCTTCTTACCTTCTGGGCAGGCCAGATACTGGCCCCGGCTCTTTTCCAGTTGCTCAATGCAGCTGAACATGGACTTGACCTTGGCAAGAAGGTGATCTGTGAGAGGGAAGACAGGGCAGTCAGGACCAGCATTCTGAGGAGTGTCCCCATGCAGCCACATCCTGCTTCATGAGCACCTAATGGACGGCTGACCCAGTCCTGCAGGAACTGCCCTAGGACATGGGAAGGAAGGTGGTGGCTCTGTGGTTCTGCTGTGACCTACGTGGCCCTCCTCCTGCACTTCAAGAGCTGCACTTCTGAACCTGTCTGGTTCCATAGCCAAGAGCCAGGACACCCCACTGCGGCCTGGCTCCACCTTGCCCCTCTCCATGGCCCACCATGGGCATCCGGGCTCTCCTGTGAGGTCCTTCAAGGACCTCTGCATCTGGCGGTGTTGAGCCTGACCTTGGCTTTCTGGTGGTTCTGCCTTCCTGCTCTGCACCCCACAGTCATTCCCATAGCTGCACCTCTGTCCACAGAGCTCAGAACACCACACAGCTCAAAGGCACAACGGTGGCTCTCTCACATGTCCAGGTGTGGCTCCTGACCCTGCTCCCCCATCAGCTGGTCGGTGCCTCATATGAACAAGAGGTCTCAGGGCCCCTTAGGACCCAGGCTGAGTGGAGGCTCGCTGGAGCTTTGAGTGGGGCCTGGCACAGGCAGTGCCCAGAACTGGCCAGTGGTCTCTCGGCACTGTGTCCCTGCACCGCTGCTCTCCACTACTCCAGGTCTCTCCTTTCCAGCCCCAGCTCCCATCTCATCTCTCAGTCGCCTGTTTCCTGCATCTCCTGTGAGCTCTTCCTGCCCTGTGCGTCACCGGCCAGGGCCTTCCCACCTGATGACAAACCAGCACCAGCGGCTCCCGCCCTCCTCTGCCTGTCCTTCAGGACCTCCTCAGTCTGCCAACATGTCCCTTTGGATTAAAAATGAGATCTATTCTTGGCTGCGTCCGTGGTCTGACAAATTTCCAGTGCTTGGGGGCTCTTCCACCTACTAGGGACAGAACCCCTGTGTCCTCCAGGGGAAGTCCCCTGAGGCTTGGGACGCTGCTGAACTTGCATGTTCTCAGGACTCACCTACCTGTGCAGTGGGCTCCGTTCATTCTGGGATCATGATGGATTTTAATTTTTCTTTATCTTTTGGTACCAAGGATTAAATCCAGGGTGCTTAACCACTGAGCAACACTCCCAGCCTTATATATATATATTTTGTTGTAGTTGTTGTTGTTGTTTTGTTTTTTGAGATATGGTCTCACTAAGTTGCTGAGGATGGCTTTGAACTTGTGATCCTCTGCCTCAGCCTCCCGAGCCTCTGGGGTTACAGGTGTGCCCCGTGCCCAGCTGGGATTTTTAATGCTCTGCCACAGCCTGCTTCATGGCCCTCCCACCCCCATGGAGCCTTCAAGATGATGAGCAGCTTTCTTTTTAGAGACACAGGCTGCTGCGTCTCCTTTTATGCCTTAAAGCAAAAACCCTGGAGCCGGGTACGTTGGCACACACACAGCGGTGGGAGGCTGAGACAGGGATTACAAGTTCAAAGCTGGCCTCAGTAATTTAGTGAGACCATCTCTAAATAGAATATAAAAAAGGGTTGGGCACGTGGGTCAGTGGTTGAGTGCTCCTGGGTCAATCCCTGGACCTCCACCTCCCCCCAAATCCCGACCCTGATTGTCTCAGCAATCTGCTCAGAGTGACACACTGACTGCTGCCCATGCCCTATGCCCAGAGCTTCCGACCTAACTGACCTGAATGGGGCCTGGGCATCCCCCAGAGACTCTGACGTGCAGCTAGGCTGAGAACCCCTGAGCTACGTTTCTCGTGGGATTCGGTGCCAACAGGTAGCACCAGGCACCGTGGGCAGGGTAGGGGTAAGAGTACCTGCGGATCCAGCGCAGCTGATGAGCGCGGGCTCCTCCATCTGGCTCAGGGCCTCCTGGATCGCCAGATCCGCAGCCTTCCTAGACCCCACCAGGAGCCTCTTCTGCTGGTCCTTAGCAAGCTGGCCCATAGATTCCTACAAGTGGCCCAGGGATGCGAGAGTCAGCCATGGACCCCACGAGAGCCCCGAGTATCATCTGCCTGGGACCTTGCTGGGATCCTGGCCTCTCAGTTCAGGTGGTCACTAGTGGGGTCCAGGCCAGTTGGCTCAACACAGAGACCACTTGAACCATGGCCACAGGAGACTGCTGGGCGGTCCCTGAGACCCACTCTCCACTCCTGGGGGAGAAGGCCCAGTGCGTCCTTTCTCGTAGGACAGAGGGCACTGTGGGCTTGCTCTTTGGCTGGCACCAGGCACCGCGCCTACCAAAAGCCTCTGGACCCTTCCTCAGAGGCCCATGGTGTGAGTTGGTGGTTGCTTAGCCCTGGTGGGTGTCCACGACGTGCCTGTGTACTGGCCAGTTTGAGCTGTGTGCCTTCCAGCTGTTCTCGAAGGGTTACTAATTCCTCTTCCCGAAGAGCCACTGTGTTGGCCAAGCTGACCCGCTCCTCCTCCAGTTCAGCGACCTTCATTGTCCATTTTGCTTCTGACTGCAATGGAGACCATGGGAAAATTAAACCGTGCCCTTTCCCCAGGTCCAGACCCACCTCCTGGCCCCAAGGAGCAGGAATTGAGGTCTCTTCCACCTCACGCTCACTGCCCCCTGAATACACGCCAATCACAGATAGGCCAGCGTGGCCATGGGCAGGACGCTGGGGGCTCACCTCGGCAGAGGTGTCCAGGCTGCTGTGGAGGAGCTGCAGCTCCTGTCTGCTGGTGGTAAGTTCTTGCTTCAAACTCTCTAGAATGCCCTGCTGCTCTTGAGTCTGAAAGAGAAGCCAAACCGGAGGTCTCTGGGCTGGGTGACCGCTGGAGGGAACACAGTAAGGAAAGTCCCCTGAGCTGTCAAGGCCAGACTGCTACTCTACTGTATGTAAGATAAAAAGTGCAGGGGAGGTGACACCTGAGACTGTACCCCTTCTGGCTAAGTCCTCAAGGGAGGCCTCCCGAGGATAATTTCCAAATGCCATACTTGAATCCACAACACTAATCAAAGTAAAATCAGACCTTAAATTGATACATCCCAACACTTGCTACAGCTGGCTGCGCATCTCGCCATCGCAAATCGCCCCTTCCCTGGAATTCTTTCTAAGTGGTGTTTTTTAAAGAGTTGGCACTTTAGTAGGAATTCATGACTAACATGTTCAAAAAATGATTTAAAAAGAAGAGAAAATACCCAAAGTCATCAAATAGTGAGGGGAGCATCGCTTGGTGACACTTCTTCCTCTAGGTGATGTGTTCTTTTGATTTGGATTACAGACTCATGCACAGGGTCCTCTAAGGCTCCGTGTCCAGTTTTGCTCATGTGACCTTACTCCACCCCAAGCCCCAGCACGACGGAGTTCTCTTGCTGGCAAATCTGTGAGTGCGTTCCTCCCCTGCTTTCCCTCCCTGGAACTCTCCTTGGGAAACTTCTACTGGGAAACCCCGTTCGACTCGGGTCCCTTCATTACCTCCTGCTCCTAAACCACATGTGCACTGGTGACTGTGCCCCGATGTCCTGTGAGGTCTCCAAAGGCCCTCCCAGAGCCTCCATGGAGCGGATGACAGATGGCTTTGATCTGTGGTGGGCCTGAGGCCTCCCCTCCAACCGCCCCCATGACCCCACCCCCGGGTGTCTCTCCTCCACACACCTTCTGTTTGGCCTGGCTGCTCACACGCTCCATGGAATCTTCTAGCTCTTTTTTCTCTCGTTCCAAATCCACCTGGGCTTGTCTGGCCATAGACACCTGTTTGGTCACCTCTGCATTCTGTAAGGGAAGAACAGAGTCCTGAACTGGCGTCTCCTGAGCCTATGGGACATCTTGCATCCAGAACCAACAATCCCATTCGGACCGTGAGAGCTGGGTCTGGGTGTCACCTTCCCAGGCAGAGGGGGGTCAGAATCAAGCCACCACCTTCAGGTTCTGTCTCTCCAATGTTTACAAAAATAACAGAAATGGGTAATTCTATGTGGGGCTGGCACCCAAGATGGAGCTCAAGGTACAGAGGCGAGGGGCCTTGAAAGGCTGGGGTTCCCCAGAGGAGGCAGCTCGGGGCCTGAAGGAGCCTGAGGCCTATGCTGCTGGCTCCCCATGGGGTGGGCTGCGGCTGGAGGGGTGAGGGTCCTACCTTCCGCAGCAGGTCGGCATGGTTCTGAACCAGCTCGCTGTACTTCTCCTTCAACTTGCTATACCGCTGCTCATTGGCCTGGGCCTTCCCTGCAGGGTCAAGGCTGAGGTGAGGCAACTGCCCTGCTGGGGCCCTCTGCCCTTGTTCCAAGTAACCTGGGGGCCCCAAGGAGGCTCCTTTTCCCCAGGAGCATAGACCTTCTTCTCCCTTAAAAAATCCTACTTATATCAACTTCTTTGGAAAGCTGTCTTTAAAAAAAAAAGAAATTCACGCCTCCTCAGTATTTCTGTCCCTGGGATCCACATCACCAGGGGTCCTGTCCTGTCTCCCCTCTTCTGCATTCCCCGTCCTGTGGGCCCAGAGGTGCCTCCTGTGGGGCACCTGCTGCCCCCGAACCTGCCCTCTGCTGGACCCTGGTTCCCAGTGGGCCTCGACCCCGTGCGCCCCACCCCGACCCGGGGCCCAGCCGGGATGGTCGCTCACTCTCGATCTCCGTCAGGCTCCGCTGGGCCTTCTCCGTGTCCTCCCGCTGCTTCCTGAGCTCGTCCAGCTCTGTCCGCAGGAACTCGCAGTTGTCAGCCGCCTGTCGCCCCAAGTGCTGCTGCTCGGCCAGCTCGGCCTCCAGCTCGCTGACGCGGCCCTTCAGCTGCAGCATGGCCCGTTGGCTCTGCGGGAGGGACCCGGTGGGCCATCTGGTCACCACACTTCCAACCGGCCGGGCGTGCAGTTTCCAGCTCAGAGAAAACCAGGTGGGCCTCCGCATGGTGGGTTCCTCACCCACAGCTCCCACCAACCACAGAGGGAGGATGGTGTCCAACAGCCGAGCGTCTGCACTGATGCGAGCTGGCCTCTCTCGTCATTATTCTCTAACGAGGCAGCCTAATAACTCTGTGAAGCACGTATGCTGGGGCTGGGCTGGGGCTCCGCGGTGGGAGCGCCTGCCTGGCACAGGTGAGGCACTGGGTTCGATCCTCAGCACCACATAAAATAATAAATAAAATGAAGGTATTGTGTCCATCGACAACTAAAATTACTTAAAAAAACAAGTATGCGGCATTATGTATTATAAGTAATAAGAAATGACTTAAAGGATAGGTGAGGATGCACGTGTTTTATGTAAAGCAACACCATTTCATATAAGGGATTTGAGCATCTACAGGCCTTAGTATCTGCTCTCTGGTGCTTGGGAACCAGTGCGCCATGGATACTGAGGGAGGACCCCAGAGGCCTCGGTTTCCTTGAGCACCTGGCTCCCAAGGTCTCAAGAGAATTGAGCCTTCTGGTCACCATGAGCCCAACAGGGCTGACCCCCGCCACTCTAACTAGGACAGAATTCCCCTGCCATTACCAGCTCCACTCATAGGACCTGGAAGGAGGAGGGAGATGCAGGGCCTGTCCCCTTGAACCAGCTTCGGGGCAGGAATGCTGTAAACCAGGTCCACACACAGGCACCGAGAGTCCCAAACCAAGCTCTTCCTGGGCCATGTGAGAGGAACTGGAGCCAGGTGGTTACCATGGCTACCCCTGGGTTTCACGGGGACCCTGGTGCCTGGCTTAACTGCTATCCTCAGGGCACGTGCCATGGAGATAGGGCCGTCCAGGTGCTTTTGGCTTTGGCATTTCTACAAATTAACCTGCCTTAGGCTGTGGTCCAACTGGTATCGGGGGACACAGCTTTACACTGCAATGCATCATGTGATCAGGCCCCAGTGCCTACCTCTACCTTCACGTTTTCCATCTGTGCTTTCAGCCCGCTGATCTCCCTGTACAGGGCCTCGATCAGGTGGTCCCTGGGGAGAGAAGGAGGACAGTGCTTCTGTCCCTCTTTCCAAAACACCAGCTTGGAGATTGGTGTGAGGGGAGGGGTTAAAAGCTGGGGCTAATCCGGGAACATTTCCTCAACACTGCCCCTCACACAGTCGACCTTCTGCACCTGCGGGCTCATCCCAAGAATTCAACCAACTGCAGATTGGAAACATTTGAGGGGAAAAAAAACCACCTGTGCTGAAGAGGTACAGATTTCTTCCTCTTCTCACTCTTCCCTAAACAATATGGTATGGCAGTGATGTCCCCAGCACGTACATTGTATCAGGTATTTTAAGTCATCCAGAGAGGATCTATAGCACACAGGGGAAATGTGTAGGTCCTACGCAATGACCACCCGATTTATACAAGGGACTTTCGCATCTGCGGACCTTGGTATCTGCATTATGCTAGGAGTCACCTTAGCCCAATGTAAAGCCCACAGGTGCAGTCAGTGATCTTCTGGGATTAAGGGGCTGATCCTCAAGGGTCAAGACATTCTTTCTCTAAGAGGCCTAAGGGTGAAGAATCCCTCGGGTTGGGTGCTGCGGATACAGCATGGCTCAACTTAGTCCCCGCACGATGAGCCGAACGCGGCTGGGACTCACTTCTCATCCTTGCTCATGCCATTCTGGCTGTTGAAATTGAAGGGATCGCTGCTGAAGGAGCTGCCAAAGATGTCATCAAACTTGTTGTCAAATAAATTCTGCGGTGACCAAAAGGGAGAGGGAAATCAGAGACCAGGAGACTCCCACGTGTGGGTCAATGGTCACGTGCAGGAATGCTCCCTTTGTGGGACCTCCCCAGGAACCATGGAGCAGGCTAGCCTCCTGCTTGTATTCTGAGAAGGCTGAACAAAGGTGGGAACATCAGCCTCTGCCTGTAGTCCCAGCTACTCAGGAGGCCCAGGCAGGAGGATCTCTTGAGCCCAGGAGTTGGCCTCCAACCTATCTCAAAAATAAACAGGGTGGTGAGAGCCAGTGTTCTCTCCCACCCACATCCCCACACTTGGGGGCAACAGGAAGGGCCAAGCTTATCTCCCAAGGGTCCTCACCTGCTGGGAGGCATCCATGTCCATGAGGTCATCCTTCTCTAGGATGGGTTCACTATCAGGGGATGAGCCCTCTGCAGGGATGACCACCACGGGGCTGATGTGTTCCGACAGGGCTGAGGCTCGCAGGAAGTTGGGTGGGTTCTGAAGAGGGAAAGACACTTTCAGCCTGCGTTCACCTGACAGGCCCTGCCGGCTGCAGGCAGGACCGGGGGACCCCACAGTGCCAGGGTATGGACAGGTGTGCTCACCTCTGGCAGCTGGGGGATCTGAATGAGCCGCTTGAAGTACTGGAGGTTGCTGGAGCGGTGGAAGAGATCTTTCAACCTGGAGGTGGAAAGGGCCTTAGGGGGTACTGGGTGTCCCTGCCAGCCCCGGGGAGGGGACAGGGTAGCGGCCCCCAGCTTCCCTACCCCTACCCAGCCCAAGGGCACAGGCTGTCAAGGAGATGGTCTCTGTGGTGCTAGGAGTCAATTATGATGCTATGGACAAGGGTCATTTACAGCCGGTCCTCAGTTATCTGGTGGCGAGGAAAGAGTGATTTATATCTGGCTAAGGGTAACATCCAAAGAAATTGGCCTATAATCCCAGCAGCTCAGGAGGCTGAGGCAGGAGCATCGTGAGTTCAAAGCCAACATCAGCAAAAGTGAGGTGCTAAGCAACTCAGTGAGACTCTGTCTCTAAATAAAATACAAAATAGGGCTGGTGTGGCTCAGTGGTCGAGTGCCCCTGAGTTCAATCTCTGGTACCAGAAACAAATAAACTGATTTTCTCGAAGGGTAAACCAACAAGCTACTGGGAAGTGAAAGCTACTACGAAGCTGCACCCTGTTTTTGAGCTATACATTGTCTCCCTATTAGAGCAGAAGCTTCTAGAGGGCAGGGGCTGATCCCTATTGAGCTGCATTTACCAAAGTCCCAGGCACAGAGGGATGTAAGTTGCGAAGAAAGAATGATCTGCCCGTACAGAGCCCTAATCTTGGAAGAACACGAACATGAAGAAACCAACTTATGATTTTTTGCAGTGCTGGAGTGGAACTGGGGACCTCGCAACTGCCAAGCTCACGCACAACCACTGAGCTCCGGCCCCGGCACTGGAAGCCAAGACTTCTTCCTTATTCTCAAATCTCTATTTTGAATCTAAATACTGAAGACTGAGAAACCTGACAGCTGAGAATGATATATACTGAGAGGAAAGGGTATTTCGGATCCTAGCATCTCTACCTAGCAGCAATACTCTTTCCCTGGCTCAGCCTCATGGATGAAAGCCCTGGGAGTCTCGTGACAGCCTTCCAGACCCCAAGACTTAGGTGTGTTCCTGTGACATTGCTGCTGCCTGTGTGTGGAAGAGGAGGCGTGGTATCTATGCACGGGAGATGTTGTCATAAGTTAGAAAAAAGCGGAAGGAAGTGAGGCCTGACCCATGTCCCCGTCTTCCTGGGCCGGAGCCAACAGTAATACTGACTACTGCTTTTGCAAGCTACCGGAATCTAACATTCCAGGAACTCGGCCCTGGTGCCTGTCTCCTAGGATTTCATAAGTCGTTCATTACAGAATGTGTACTCAGTGTTCCCCAGTGGAACAGGGGAGCCGAGAGGTGACTGCAGCCCTGCACTTGGCCTTCAATTGCTCCTGGGGAGCCAGGAAGAGAAGCACAGCGCCAGGATGCAGGAGTCATGGTCACCGATGAAGAGGTGAACCAGAAAATGTGAGAACTGGCATTGACCGTGCCAGGCCAGGGGACCCTTCTCAACTCCAGGGTCCTCCTGCCTCTGGACCCCTCTTCCCCTTTTCTTGGGATAATTACATTAGGGATGAGCTGTACCACTACATTAGTCACCAATTTTCTCCCCCAAATGCACCAGGGTAATTTACTCCTCAGCCAGACACGCTCCTCCTTCCCTAGACCAGGCAGCTCAGGCATCTGGCTTCTTAGCTTGCAAATTCACCCCAGGATTTCTCGATACTCTGTGCTTGTTATGGATTAGATGTAAGGTGTCCCCCAAAAGCTCATGTGTGAGACAATGCAAGAAGGTTCCGAGGTGAAATGATTAGATCGTGAGACTTGTGACCTCAGAGTGCGCTGGTCCCCTGGTGGGGAGTGGTGGCTGTAGGCAGGTAGGCTGTGTCTGGAGGAGATGGGTCATGGGGGGCCGGCCTTTGGGTTTATATTTTGTCTGTGGTGAGGGGAGCGCTCTCTCTCTCTCTCTGCCTCCTAGTGCCACGTCCCTAGCTGCTCTCCTTCACCACTCATCCGCCACGACCATCTACCTCACCTCAAGCCCCAAAGAATGCCGTTGGCCATCTGTGGACAGAGGCCTCTGAAACCGTGAGCCTCCAAATAGACTCCTCTTCCTCTATTTGTTCTCCTCAGGTCTTTTGGTCGCAGCAGTGACAAAGCTGACTCAGACACTGTTTCCTGGTCCAGTGCTGGTCAGGCACTGGGGACAGAGCACTGGGGCAAAGGGTCCAAAAGGAGGGAAGCCACACCAAGAACTCGAGGGAAACAAAAGGGTGAGAACTTGGGGTGGGGTGAGGCTGGAAAAACAGGGTATAGGGAGGAAAGTCGGGAGTGAACGAGGGGACTGGGGATGGCCTTCCTGAGGAGGTGACAAAAGATGACCAGGAGCTCTGCAAGGAGAGGAAGCAAGCACAGAGGCCCTCATGGGCTTAGGAGCTGGGCGTGTCCCTAGGACTGTAGACCCAGAGGGGCCGGAGCACGTGAGGAACAGGGTGGAGGTCCAAGATGGCAGGCAGGGCTGGGTCTCACACGGCCTTGCAGACCACAAAGAAGGACTCAGGCTATACTCTAATGTAGGCAGAGCCATGGGGAGCTCTTGAGCAAGAGGGATGTTGGACATACTGTTCCATCTGCTGGCGAGGCCTGGGTTATAGAGGGGGGTGGAGTCGAGGGAGTCTGGTCAGGCCAGAGGGTCCTGGCGGGAGGCCCTGGTGCCTGAAGGATGCACTTGTGGATGGAGCTAGAAGTTATCTGTAGAGTGTCAGTAGAAGCCAACGGTGGACTGGAGTGGGGCAACGTGAGGACACGTGAGTTCCAGGTCTTGGGGGCTAAATGGACAGTAGCAGCGTTTACTGAGACAGAAAAGCCTGGGAAGAAGGTTTTTGTTTTTGTTTTTTGAGAAAACCTTGAGTTCAGTTAAAGATTTAAATCTGGTATCTAGGTGTCACATTGAGTATGTGAGATTGGAATTTAGATCTAAGATACATGTATTTAGGAGCTGTCTGAGTAAAGGGGGTCAGACCAAGTGACCTAAGGACAGGACAGAGAGATGGAGTCCTGGCATGGGGCAGGTGAATCTCCCTCTTCCAGGGGATTTACCAGGGTCTGGTAGGTGTGCTGCTGTCCTAGCTATTTTCTGTCATTTTATCTCCCTAGAACGCAGGCCCCACTGCCCCTCACGTATTTCACAGTGTGCACGTGCTTGGCCTGGATCCATCTTATCGCAGACTTTGATTTGCCTCCACTCCTGTTATTAGAGCCACTTACTTTGTGAACTGCTCCATGAAGCGGTCTCGGTGGCCCTGCAGAGTGTCAGCTGGGAGACCTGGAGAAGAGTGGAAGGACTGTAAGGGGGCAGGCAGGCCACATGGGCTCCGGATGGAGGGGTGGCCATCCTGGGGCCACTTCTGGTCTGTGACCAAGGGAGTCCCACAGGAGTGTGGGGACCCTTATCCTCCAAAGCTTCCCACTTCCAATTTGTCCTGGAAGGATGAGCCATTCTAGGCCCATTGTGAGGAGGCTGACCACAGAAGCAGCATTGACCTGGCCAAGCCCCGGGGTGGACCAGGGCAGATATGGCACACACTTGATCCACCAGTGTAACTCTGTGATTCTGTACAAGCAGCCACCTTTCAGGGACAGCTTCCCCATCACGAAGCTACCTTCACCTTCAAGACTGTGGGAGTCTGTGTGATTCAGCTACAGACCACAACTTGGTTTTCAGTCTATTTTAAAAATATCAATTTTAGTCATTTTTGAATGGGTGGGACATTCACTAGGTGTGAGCACATATCAGGCATGATCCATCGAGAGGACCAAAGTGGACAGTGCATAGAAAAGCCAGTCTGCCTCCATGGGCTTCTTCCCAAGAGCACTTGGTCCCAAGACCCCAGTCACATCATGGTAAAATAAAAATAAAAATAAAATAAAAAATAAAAAGGAATTGAGGGTCATTCTCCAAAAAATCTCACTAGCACTCAAACACTGTCAAGGTCTTCAAAGACAGAGAGACTGAGAAATTATCACAGCTGAGAAAAGCCCTGAGACACTAGATGGCTCCGTGTTATGTAGTGTCCTAGATGGGAGTTTGGACCAGGAGAGGGACCCTGGGTACCAACTGGAAATCTGAGAAAGCATGACCTCAGTTAATAAGGTATTGATAGTGGTTCATGAGTTGTGACAGGCGCATCCTGCTAACATGGGGATAGCAGGGGAAGCTGGGTATGAGGTCAACGGGAATCCTCTATACTGTCTTGATGACTTTTCTAGAGTTCTAAGTAAACATGTCTTAAAGTATAGAGAAGTCAAGTGTCTGCAAGTTGAAAATCAGAAATGCAAAACACTTCCAAAATGAAGTGACCTGAAATCCAAAGCCCTCTGAGGACTGCCGGGTCTCAGATCAAGGATGCTGGTAGTCCATGCCAATGTTCCAAAATCCGAGAAATTCCGAAACCTGAAACACTTCTGGATGGAGCATTCTGTATAAGAATAAGACCTGTGTCTTATACACAGACCTGTATAAGACCTGTGTCTTCCCATGTCCCTACTTCTCTCCTCAGCCACCCAGTTCCCCTGCACGTCCAAGTGGGTCTCACACGTTGCCCTGCCTTTAGAGAAGATCTTTGAACCCAAATAATTACTTGCCTGTTCTCCTATCTCACCGCTCTATAAGAACCTTGTGAGGCTGTGTTGTGCGACGTGTTTTACAGCATCGTAGAGACGATTACAAGCTCACGGGCACTCGGCGCTGCCAAGCAACATCTCCCTTCGCCTCTTGGGATCTAATTGACCCTGAGCTCCCTTCAGGTTTGGTCCACAGCCTTTCTGATCCCAGAAGTGCAAATTCAATCTCCCTCCCTGAGGAAACCACCCTGAGTTCCTCCGCGTGCTACTATTCTCTGACCTTTTCCTAACAATTGGACTCTGTGCTTGTTGATGACCACAGTTAGGGAGCATCCTTGTCCCCTACTTCTAAAATGTGGCCTTCTGTGACATAAAACCCCAGGTCCGTGACACTTTGCTGGTGTCCGTGCATGTGGAGACTTTTCTTGGTTTTCCATCATGCACAGACTTTGTTTATACAATCCTTCATGGTGGCCACCCTGCAGTGGGGCACGAGTGCCACAGGGTTACATAGGGACCTGCATTTAACGGTGCAGAACTGAACCCTGTTGGAGACCCCCTAAAGCAGACTGAGCCTGGCACAGACACACAGTTTCAAACAAGAAACACACAGGGCCGGGTGCAGCTTGGTGGTGGAGCAAGAGCTCGGCATGTGAGAGGCCCTGGGTTCCATGCCCGTCACCGCAAACCAACCACCAGCACACAGAAGCACGGAGGTCACAAGAACAGTAGCTTCCAAACTATGCTCTGCCAAGGGCACGCCAGGGATCTGCAGCAGGCGAGGGACAGCCCTCCATTTAGGTGAGCAGCTCTGTTCTACATATTTCTCCATAAAATTCCATCTGTACAAAGGATGATGTCATTAATGGTTTGGACATCGCTGCCTTGGCTCATACGGGGCAGAGATATGGTCCTTGTGTGGGTTCTAGAATACCTGATGTCCTTGAGGAATAGAGACACAGCACAGATGGAGATGAACCATCCTGGGACACAGCAATGGCTTGTTAGGAGCTGTACTTGGCCCACCAAAATTTAGACCCCTGTTCTTCCATCTTCCATTCTCTTTTTTTTTCTTTCTGGTGGTACTGAGGATGGGACCCCGGCACTCTCCTGTGCTGGGCAAGCACCCTACCACTGAGCTACATCCCCAGCGCCTTCCATTCTCTTGATGGCCAGGAGCTCCAGGCACTTTTGAAACAGAAGCGGAGCCAAGGGCATGCGGCCGGGCTGCGGTCTCCAGGGACCTCCCTAAGGGACATGCGGTGAGGCTCCTCCCCGCCCAAGGCTCATGGAGAAAGATCCTGCAGGTGTACTCACAGGAGTGGAGTTTGAAGAGGAGCTTGACGGTGTAGTCATAGAGGTGGCTGCAGTCCAGGATGACCTGGATCAGCGGGGCGAGGCGGCACTGCCCTGCAGTGGTCACTGACACCGAGCGGGACATGTCCAGGGAGTTGAACACTGGAAATAAAAGGGGGAGAAAGCAACAGGGTGAGGCAATGGCAGGTGGCAGAGAGGCAGAGGAGGGCCCAGCAGGCAGCAAGGGCTGACTGTGTGGGCATCACTCCAGCTGACTCACTTAGCCCTTGCAGCACAGAGAGGGTGTCCCTGTCGTTCAGGGGAACCTCCATTGCTGGAAAGCCAAGGTGTCATGCTGAGAGTTAAACATGCACCAGAGAGCCCACGTGGCCACCTGCGGCTAGGCCAGGCGCCTCTGCCCCTGGTGGCCAAGATGCCTGGTGTGCAATGAACAGGCTCCGCTTTGTGCAGAGCCCCGTGACACCCCTGAAAGACGAGATCTGCTCAACCCTGGAGAGCTCCTGGGACGCCCAGGAATCCCTTCTTCCCGTCTCTGAGGAGCCTCCTAGTTCTGCCCCAAGTCAGATCAGAAAGGCACAGCTAGTATTTCAGCTCATGTCAGGCCGAATGGGGAGACGGGTCACTATGCCGGGGAGCTCTTGGGTCCATGGGGCCTCAGAACCCGAAAGGAGCTGACCAATCAGGCCGAGCCGCTTGCATGTGAACTTGGCCCGACACCTCTGGCCATCAGAAGTGCCGCAGGCCTGGTGGCTGGCGGTAGCCAGCAAGGGCAGAATGTGCCCAGCGGGAATCAAAAAGTGAAGGAGGGAATCTTTCGGCTGTGGCTTCCCAGTGGCTCGCCTCAGGGGTTCTTGGACCATTTCAAAGGGAGACACTGGAGGACACAGATGCACCAAGCAAGGGTCTGGGGGCAGGATGGACCACGGGGTCAAAGGCTCATCGGGGTCATGGGGGGCCATCAGCAGACGTGCTGCCCTCGACTCCCCCGAGTTCTGGAGAGGAAGCTGCTCCCACACTTTTTGTTCCAGAGATCCCTCCATATTTATGCCCAAGTTCCTGACCCAGGTCCTCAGCTCGTCCCCTGGCCTGGCGGTCTTCCTTCCTGCCCAGGCTGCCCATGTCCCTGCAGGTGCTAGCCGTGGCAGAAACGGACGTGACTTTCCCTGCAGCTCCACGGAGCGTGGCCCTGCCCAGAGCCCTGCGTGCTCTTCCTCCTCCGACTGCACGAATCCCTGGTAACAGGGTTAGTTTGGCAAATGGAAAAAAAAAAAATCCCCAACTGTTCTAATTAGCAGGCAGCTTTTCTTCTTGACACAAATTACAAGCAGCTGCCGCTGCAAGGAAACCATCCTCAGGCTCCACTCTGGCAAGTACCCACAGCAGGTCCCTCTCCGGGGCTGCCCGCTGCCTTCTTGAGGCCTCCTGAGATGGCCCTTGGTGCCCAGCACCACCACAGCAGTGCAAGTGTGGATGAGGACGAGTGCTCAATCTCTTTGGGCCTCCAGAGGCTTCGCCGTGAAGCCCAACGATGCCAAGCGCACGCCTCACAGAGTCTTGTAATGTGCAGCGGCTCTTGGCTTTGACGCTGCCTGCAAGTCCCCATGCCCCTATTCTGTGTCAGCTGGTCTGGGCTAGGGTCAGGGCAATGGTAGTTTTCAAAAGCCCCCTGGGTGAATCTAACAGGCGACCAAGGTTGAAAACTGACTGCTGGCCTGGTGTGTCAGAACCCCTGGGGCAGATAGAATTCCACAATGACAGAAACGCTCTGGCTGCCCTGTCCAATATGCCAGCCACATATGGCCACTCCAAACATGCCTGAAATATGGCTTGGGAAACTGAGGACTTGACTTTGAAATGTTATTTAACTGTATCCAGTTTAAATACAGATGCTTCTCAGCTTAGGGTGGGGTTACCTCCTGATCAGCTGAAAATACAGTAAGTTGGCACTGTGGCTGCACCCAACCCATCAACATCGCAGCTCAGCCAGGTAGCCAGGAGTGCTTGGGACACTCACGTGAGCCTCAGCTGGGCAAAATCATCTAATACAGAGCCCATTTGATATGAAAGTGCTGCATATCTCATGCAATTTATTGAACAGCTGTTAATTTCAGGTATTTTGTGACAGTGGAGAAAAGCTGACTAACAAAGCCACACTCAAATCTTGCATGTTCAAAGCCTGGTGCAGTGGCCTGTAATCCCGGTCACTTGGGAGGCTGAGGAAGGAGGATCACAAACAAGTTCAAGGACAGCCTCAGAAGCAACTTAGTGAGGCCATTTCTCACAGTAAAGACTAAAGAGGGCTGGGGGTGTGGCTCAGTGGTTAAACACTTCTGGGTTCAATCCCTTCAATCCCTAAAACCAAACAATAAATAAATAAATAAAAATAAAAAATAAATCTTGCACATTCAAAAGCCAAAGGTAAATGAGTTTTGAATCACCTGTCTGGGTCCTTCCCTCCTGAAGCTAAATAATCATTAGCTACAGCAATTAATACTTGTTCATGTACCTTTACGCAAATAGTTATGGAGCATATAAAAATTACTACTGAGGGCTGGGTTTGTGGCTCAGAGGTAGAGGGCTTGCCTAGCATGTATGAGGCCCTGGATTCGATCCTCATCACTACATAATAAATAAATAGATAGATAGATAGATAGATAGATAAAAAGGTATTGTGTCCAACTACAACTAAAAAATGAATATTTAAAAAAAAAACTACTGAGTCCATCTACAGCACTTCCCTCCCTGACTGGGAGTGGCTTAGGGCGGGGATGACACTCCCTAGTAGGTGTTTTGTTTTTAGGCCTCTGCCCACTTCACAGAAGGCCCTGCTCAAATACGTTGCCAGGAGGTTGGTTCCTTCATTTCCCCAAAGCCAGCTCCCCAGCGTCTCTGGTGCTTCTCGGCCCACATCCTGTGCTGAGCTGACTGGTCAAAGCATCACAGACTCTCAGACCCGTCACAGGCTTAGACCAGCACTGGGACACAACAGGACACTGGGACACATATGCTGCACAGATGAGCTCACTGAAGGGAGCAGACTTCAGGTGAGTCAAAGCCCTACATGCCCACTGGCTGAGAAGGCTACCAAGCCCAAGCGAGAATGCCTGTCCTCTGTCAGTCACCTGCTGAGAACTAGCTCAAATTTTAGTACATCATCCTCTGTCTCCCAGGGAAAGGAGCCCGGCTGGGAGGTGAGGGGGACAGAGACACCCAGAGGAGGGAGGTGCTCGCAGCTGAGGGTCTGGGGGTCCCAGAACTCTGGGCAAGGTGGTCAGCTGCCCCCAGTAGCAGAGCAGGATGTCCTGGGTGACAACCTAGCTTGACCCAGTTTTCCCAATGGCTGCCAATTAAACAGCAGACACAAGGCCTCCTCCTGGGAAGGAATCACCTGGGTCACAGCCCAGTTTTGATGGCAGATGGATAGGGCCAAAGGACAGCGGGGCTGTGGCCACAGTCCACTGGCTGTCAGAGAGTAAGACCTGTCTTTGGGGTCTTGGTGGCCTGGGCTTTAGGAGGGAGGCCAGCAGCATGTTTTTTTCTGCTCTGATGTGACATCTCTGGCTTCACATACATAGAAGAACTTCAGCCCCTCCCTGAATTAAGAGCACAGAGACACGTGACATGAGACAGGGAGACAAGGGCTGGCCCCAGGTCCAGGAGGGCAACCAAGCTGGGAATCAGGTCACTCGGAGAGCCTGGTCAGATTGAAGGGCAGAGACTCACCAGTCTGGAAGAGGTTCAGTTCACACTCCAAGTAGTCAAACATCTCTACTGTTAGCTGGAAACTGACCCAAGAAGAAAGAGAACTTAGGTTCCAATCTTTGTGGGTGTGGAGGAGCCCAGGGCCTGGGGCGTGCTGGGCACAGGCTTCACCGCTGAGCTACACCCCAGCCCCTAAGGCCAGTCTTTGACCTGCCCGCCCCCAGCTCCTGCCCCCACCCCAAGGCACACACCAGTGCACATGCACATGCACACGCACACGCACACGCACACGCACACGCACACGCCCAGCTGCAACCTCAGCTCTCGCCCAAATGGGCATTCAGGTCATTTGAAGACGAAGAAGGACAGAGAGTCCACAGTGACGTGGGGAAGGGGAAGGATTGGAGCCGCGCCGGGCTGGGATGTGAGGGTGAGGCAGAGGGGGCCGCGAGGGGTGCCAGCTGGTGGCTCTGGATGCACGAGGGAGGAAGGGGCCATCAGGACATCACCCAGGGGCTTTACCTCACCCCAGCCTCTGCCCCTACCATCAGGCCCTCTGTGACCCTAATGGGAAGTAATAAAAGACAAATATGGTCGCCTCCTGGGCCCAGGGCATGGGGACTGCCCCTTACAAGTTGTTGACGTCACTTTCTCCAGCCTCGTCCAGCTGTCGGTCGCTCATCTGAAGGTTGCACGGGAACCTGGGGTTCTGGGAGGGAGGTGGGAACCAAGTCAGAGGGCGGTGACATCTCCCCACGGCCAACAGAGCCAGCATCAAGGAGCCCCTCTGGGATATGACCCCATACACAGACACCTTGACAGGCTCGGAGACACTGAGCACCCACTGCACCCTCCTGAGTGAGGGGAGGGCTCCTCCCTGCAATCTGTGCTCTGGAACATTCCATGCACACTCTCCCATGAAATCCTGAATGTGACAGCGCTTGCTGTCAATCATCCATCTGCGAGGAAGGAGTATTTATTCATCCCTGTCCTTTCTGACCCCAAGCCAGGCTTCCTGCTGTCCTTGCCATTTCCTGGAGTTGCTGCTCTCCGTTCAGGGATGTACAGCATCCTCTTCCCCGCCTTTGAAAACCCTCAGTAGTAAAATAAACTTGACGGCAGGAAGATATTATGAGAGGCAGCCCCAAAGTTGAGAGAAATCCTTCTCCTACCATGGGGTCTGTCTAGAGTGGATGGACCTGGAGAGCAAGGGGAACAGGCCAGAGAGATGGGGGGCCACCCTACCAAGGAGCTTCTAAGTTCCAGAGCCAAGACTTCAGGCTGCTAAGATGCGGACCTGAAATGAAGGAGGTGGGGCTGGGAGTCCGTCCTTTTTGCCTTCTCTCATCTCAGAGACCTCAGGAACGGTCCTCCTAGTGTGGTCCCAGCCCCATCCCCTACTGAACCCGAGAGGCTGGGGCGAGGCCAGTGCTCTGTGTTTCCTTAGCCTCAGGTGACTGAATGGGTGGGAGTGACAGGTGGGGAGAGGCCTGGAGGTGCAAGGGGCTAGCCACCTGCCAGACCCTACGAGGTCTGGATAAACTTCCTCAGTCTTCACGACGGCCTGGGAGGCAGAAACAGTGATTTCCGTTTAAGAACCGAGGAAACCGGGACTCAGCTGGATTCTCTTAGGCCAGGAGCAGAAGCCCCCACTAATACACTCCAGGTCAGCTCTGGGCTGCTCTGGGTGCAGGGGACACAGGGCAGGGATCGAGCAAGGTGGGCGGGGCTGTAGGTACAGGCAGGGAGCAGAGTCAGAGCTTGTGCAGGGTCTTGTCTCAGAGAGACCTGAACAGAGTCCAGAGCATGAGTCCCCCGGGAAGGCTCAGCGCTGCCGTTTCTATGGGTCCAGGTGCTCTCAGGCAGGGGACTTCTTCACAACTGACCCTATTTCAGCCACGCAATCACCTGACTGTGCCAGGAACACAGCCCCACTTAACCTTAAAACCCTGAGCTTGGGGCTGGGAGGGGCTCAGTGGTTGGGCATTTGCCTGGCATGCGCGAAGCCCTGGGTGCCATCCCCAGCATGACAACCAACCAACCCCGAAGAGCACGTCAACTGTTTTTGACAGCTTGCCTGCGGGTGCCCCACACCTCCACTCTCCATCTTTCCATCTTTCCCCTCCTGCCAGAAAGACCCAGCTTGCAGCCACTGCAGGACGGGGCTGCCAAGGGCCAGGGCAGGCCCGGGCCAGACAGGACAGCAGGGCTGGATCGCAAGCGCTGGCTCTGGCTCCTACCCCCTGCGTTCCGTGGCACAGTCACAATATGCCGTCTCCTGCCAGGAAATCCCCACTGTGGCCTCGGCTTCCAGGCTACGCAGTGCCAAGGCCCCTGAGACAGGCCTGGATTTGCTTCCAGGGCTCCTCGGGGCACTGCCACCATCCTCGATGGCGGGGGCCAGTACGCAGGGCTCTCAGGCTGGTCGCCTCTCCTTTCCCACGGTGCTACCCACATGTCTGTCTCCCAACCTGCTGCTCTCCTAGAACTTCAGGGACTCCTCCGCTTTAACCGCCCCCGTCCACGAGGACACCGTGCCTTCCTCAGCCCCACTGAACAGGGCTGGGCTCTGTGCTCAGCCCTCCCAGGTCCCCAGGTGGCTCTACTCCACACTAAAGGGCTCTTGGTTTTCGATTACCCCGGTACTCACCCTAGTCCCTGGCACCTGGGTCAGAGCCGTCCCATGTGCGGAGTCCTGCACGCTGCCATATGACCCTTGACCACCTCAATTCCAATCCCTGTGACTCCACCCACCTGTCAGGACCAGCCATAACCTAGAACCGCCCCCCTACCGACTCCTCCCTCGCAGACCCTCCCTCTGGCTGCAACATCCGGGTCCTGGCCCTGCTGTCCTCTCCTGCCCTCATGTCCAGCTGGTCTTCCTGCTCTGTCTCAGGGACATCCCACCCCGACATGCTCGCTCTCCTCCTGGCCTCTCTGGCCCCCTCTAGACATCAGGACCGGAGCCCTGTTCCCTCCTCACATGCTGTGTACTAGGACCAACTTGGAGAGACCCTCTCCTCACTTAGGCCGGCCCCTCCTATGGGGTCAGATCTCACCTAGGCTTTGGTTCACTCTCTCGTTCAGTAAGTCTCACTGGGCACGGTTCTGGGACAGAAGCTCAGGGGACTCCAGGAGGTGGACACCTGTCCTCTGCACTCCACGAAGCCCCAGTCCAGAGCCCCCCCCGGGTTCTGCTGTTTTTTTCACTTCAGGGATTGAACCCATCCCCAGCCCTTTGTTGTATTTTATTTAGAGACAGGGTCTCGCTGAGTTGATAGGGCCTTGATAAACTGCTGAGGCTGGCTTTGAACTCACGATCCTCCTGCCTCAGCCTCCCAAACTGATGAGATTACAGGCATGCAACCCCAGCGCCTGGCCCGGTCCTGCTCTTGTTGACTTTCCCCCTCTGCCCTCCTGCAGCCTGGCCTCTCTTCATGTGACCCAGCTCTTCCTCACCGCCCCCCTCCCAATCTTCAGGCAGCCCCCGCCACTCTGTCAGTTCTAGGGGCCATGTCCCAATTCTGGTCCTCATCGGCAGCCACGTGGACAGCTGGGGTCTTTCTTTAAAGTCCACCTTGCACAAGGCCCCAGGAAGGACACCCTACAATGAGCAGATGGCCCTTTATAGCCAGGTCTCCCCTGGGTGTGGAGAAGTCCAAGGAACTGCCCAGGAGGGTGCCGAGGCCTCAGGGGCTGGGGTGGCCTCCCGCAGCTGCCTGGTCCCTGGTCCTGTGCTGTCCTGCCCACGTTTCATCCTGACACAGGTCTGCTGCAGGTTTACAGGGACACCAAGTTGTTTCAGGCCTTGCGTCCCTGGGTCTCCAGGCTCGCTCTGCCTCGAGTACCCGGCTGCTCTCCTCTGGGTCACCTCAGTACCCAGCCTGTGGCAGACTGGGGTCTTGGGGGAGGAGTTTTGTTGCAGGAGGGTGGGGTCAGGCCAGCCCCAGCAGCCCCACTGCAGCGCCCACCACCAGCCCTCACCAGCATTGACTGCAGAGAAGCACCCAGCCAGGTCCTCCCAGGGTTCCTCACCACAGAGAACACTAGAGTCAAGGAGCCGCTGCTGCTGTGCCTAGCCACACAGCTAGGGGGTGACGTGTGCTATAGTGGAGAACCCAACACTCCAGACAGAGCTCAGCTTACTGCCCGCGGCCACTGTCCCCTGTCCCCATCCCCATGCGCTGGTGCTGCCTCCTGCTGCTCTCCCCTCTAGTCTTACTGCTCGCACCTTCTCCACCTCGGTCACCTGCCCTAGCAAACTGGGAGACTCGCACAAGTGGGACACGACATCACCCTTCTCTCTTCAGGGCCTGACCTGTTCTGGCCCATGGCAGCCCCTGGGTACAGCATGGCCGAGGTGTCCAATGGGCCTGGTTCACATTCCTGCTCCATCTCCCCAGGACATGGTCACACCCACCATCACGCTGCTGTGGGGACTGGGTGTCGCACAGACAGGTTTTAGAGAATGGCACAGTATGCATGGGTCGACACTGCCCCTCGAGCACATGGGGACCACAGGGATAGGCACCAGGGGAGGTTCCCCTTACTCTCCAGCTCCCCAGCTGCTTCCTCTCCTACCTGGCAGCCACTCTGCTCCCACCACCTGTCTGCCCCAGGCCTGCCTCCAAGGCCCGCCCCCCCACACTGTGGCTTCCTATTTCAGGTGCCCTCCGCAGGCCCCTGTGGTCCTCAGGAGCACCTGACCTGGCTTCCACGATGCACCCTCTGCACACAGCTCTGCACCTAAGAAGGTTCTGTAGGGAGCCTGCAGTGGGGAAATGTGGGACCACTGCTTCCTAACATCTCACAAGCAAGCTGAGGGACGGGCCTCCTCCTGTGCAAAACGGGGAACAAGAGGGCAGAGGACACACACAGTGCCTTGTCCCGTCACACCCCAGGGCCTGACGGTAGCGGCCCTATCGACCACCTTTCTCTCACACAGCGTGGAGGCAGGATGCACGCTCCCTTGTGCCCACAACATTCCCTGAGGTGGCAGGAAGGCCCAGCAGGACTCACCTTGGTGTGGAACTCCATCTTGGTTCTCAGCAGTTTGAGGTAGATGCTGCAGAGCTGTCCATAGCCCTCGCTCAGGTGGCCCTTCCAGGAAGAGGCAAGAGAGCAGAGGGTTAGCACCGGGCACACTGGGGGAAGCCCGCAGCTAGGGCTTCTAGGGTAAAGAATCTCTTTCTCTGACTATGAAAATAACAGATGTCTATGGCAGAAAATTTTGGAAAATATAGAAAAGCACGTATACAAATTGTTTTTTTTTTTTTTTTCCACTCAGGGAATTGAACCCAGAGATGCCCTACCACTTAGCCACATCCCTAGTCCCTATCATTCTTTCTGTGTTCAGACAGGGTCTCACTAGATTGCTTAGGGCATTACTAAATTGCTGAGGATGGTCTCCAACTTGCAATCCTCCTGTCTTAGCCTCCTGAGTCACTAGGATTACTGGTATGTGCCACTGCACCCAGCCTCAATTTATTTTTTCACATAATACTGCGATTTCACCCCGTTTTTCTTCTGTATGATCATTTTCAGTGATTGCCTAGTATATTATACACATGTACTATCATTTATTGAACAAACTCAATGTTTGAAGTACTTGAAGCCAATTCAAAAGAGCTGAAATATGTGCTGTTATAAATTATGCTTCAGTGAACATTTTTTTTTCAGTATGATCTCATTTTATTTATTTATTTTTGAGGGGGGTGACATCACCCAGGGTGGTCTCAAGCAATCCTCCTGGTCTTGGCCTCCCAAACAGCTGGGCCAAGAGGTGTGTACCACTGGCCCCGTTTGCCATACAAAATGTGAGGACTTCCTTTGGGTAAATTCTGGATAAGGATTTTCAGGAAAGGATTTTAAGTCTCCACTTGGCAATCCCACAGCAGTCTAGCCATAGGCTATTTCTTTCCTTCAGTCTTTCTGAGCACAGTAAAGTTGCTCTGGGAAGAAGCTGAATTAGCAGAGTGATGTTGGCCACTCCCGGTTATCTGCAAACTAAAGCTGAATAGCTGTGGCCCCCGCATGAGTTCCGACTCCAACATTTTCTTTCAAGGGTGCTCAGAATAAAGGACCTTCCCTGAAATGCACGTGAAAGGGCCTCCAAGGGCCAGGAGGGCCCAGAGGAGGTGACAGGTCACCATCAATGACAGAGATGGCAGCACTTACGTGACCTAATCTCCTAGGAACACTTCACACTTCATCAATTCAATTTTTAAAAAAGTTTTCTTTTTCTTTTTAGTTGTTGTTGGATCTTTATTTTATTTTTATGTGGTGCTGAGAATCAAACCCAGTGCCTCACACGTACCAGGCAGGTGCTCTACCTGTGAGCCCCAGCCCAGACATTTCATTAATTTTCATGTAATGTTTATTCATTTTGGAAAGATGGGAAATTACTGGAAAGTAGAAAAAGAAGCAAAAATATTCTCATTGTCAGAGATGCTTTAACATGAAAATGCACAAGAACCAGAAAGTAAAGCTGGTTCCAACTTCCAGATGCTCTTAGTTCAGGGGAAGAGATGGAAGTGCATGACAGAAGGCCTCAGGGATCCCAGGCTGGGTAACCAGGCAGCCAAGTACCAGGGTGACCCCTCACTGAAAACCACCAAAAATATGGGCAAAATATGAAGACCTTCTTTTTGAAGGTAAACAGCCGGGGTGGAAGGGGGTTAGCTGGACACACACACACACACACCCGGTGACCAGCACTGAGGCAGTCCTCTCTGTGAATTGTTAAGAAAACCCTGGCCCCGACAAAGCCTTGCTGTGATCAGAGGGAAGGAAAATCCACTACTGGGGATTGGATTCCTCAAAGGATCTTCCCAGAACTCACAAAACCTGAAGCTGAGAATTGAATTTACAGTGATCTCAGTGGGAGCAAATAACCAGCTCTCTCTGGATGAAGCTGCCTTTGTTATTGACTTCAAAGAATTTTCACAAATAAGATTGCAAGGAAAACGAGTACTTCGCCGTGGAAAATAACTAAGAAAATATATGTCATGCGCAAAATCCACCAAAAATGCCATTTGGCAGGAACAGATCTCTGAGGACTTCAGAAAACGGAATCATGAAATGTGAGATATGAAATGAGCACGCCTAACATGTCTAAGAAGTAAGAGGGTCCACGCTGGGCAAGGGAGACCGTAAAGGGCACCCAGCAGAGCTTTCCTGGGTTTTTGTTTATTTGTTTGTTTTTCCCAGCACTGGTGATTGAACCAGTCCTGAACCAGTGGGTGCTTAACACTGAGCCAATCCCCAGCCCTGTTCATTTTTCACTCTGAATCAGGGTCTCAATAAGTTGCTGAGTCTGGCCTTAAACTTGCAATCCTCCTGCCTCGCTTCCCGAGTGGCTGGGATTACAGGCATGCGACACTGCACCTTGCCCAAGCAGATTAAAAAGAAAACAGTATTTCAAGAAATAAAAACCACACTAAAACTGAAAACCTTATGGAGAGGTTTAACAGATTAGCCCAGCTAAAGAGGGAACAGTGCACTGAAATCCAGAGGATGGAATTATCCAGAATGCAGCAGAGACAAATAGGTAAATAAATTCAAAACAGCAGCTCAGAGACATGGAGAGAGACTGACAGGTTCTAACTGAGGCGCAGAGGAAGACGGAACAGTGCAAGGGCAATGTTTATAACGACATCGAGAACGTCTCATAACTGAGGAAAGATGCTAATCTGAAGATTAAAGAGGTCCAAAGAATCCAAAATAAATTCACCCTTAAACACGTTCTAAGGTCTTAAAAATGGCCAGAGAAAAATTACAGATTAGCTGTGAAGAAGCAACAGTGAGTTTCACAGATGACTTCAAGAAAATAATGGAAGCCAAGAATCATGGAAGGGTAGCTTGAACAGCATTCTCCTGTGCCGAGAGAAAATAACTGTCCCCCTAAAATCCCAAACCCAAAGAAGGTTATCTTCATGAATGATGCTGAGTCAGGACATTCTCAAAAAGCAAAAATGTATGCCACCAGCAGACTCTCGGATAGAGAAAGTTCTGAGAGAAGTAACTCAGGCAGAAAGTGATCCCAGATGAAAGATCAGAGGGTTACAAAATGAAACAAAGTAAAACAATATGGCATAGGGCTTAAAAAGAAAAACAACCAGAACTAAAATAGCATAAGGGTCAAAGGAGTGTATTTTATTAAAATAGGCCAGGGTTGTGGCTCAGTGGCAGAGCACTTGCCTAGCATGTGGGAGGCACTGGGTTCAATTTTCACCACCACATATAAATAAAACAAAGGTCCATCAATAACTAAATAAAAAATAAATTGTCTTAAATTCTTTGTATTCCACAGGAAACAGGTACAGGTATGAAACTGAGACCTTGATCAACTAAACAAGCATTTTTTTAATTATTAAAGAACATACGGAATTATTTAAAAAGTAGAGGAAAATTTTAACCTCTCAACTAGTAATGAGAGAACCCCAATCAATCCCTAAGAAAGCAATGAATGAGAAAAACAGACTAGGAACAGATGGGACAAAGGGAAGCACAAAGTAAGCTGGGAGACGAAGTGGCTGAAAGCTAAGCTACACTTAGCTCTGAGGCCAAGCGCACGCTTAGCCTGAGCATAGCCCAGGGTCCAGTCCACAGCATGGACCCCATCCCCCAAACCCCCAAACATCAACAACAAAAAGTTAGAAAATGCCATTCTAATTATATCTTATATTACAATAAATGTAAATGTACCAAATGTCCAGTTAAAAGACAAAGATTGCCAACTTGAATTAACAAAAAAAAAAAAAAAAAACCACCAAAATCCTTTGTGGTTAGCCTGGGCAACACAGTGAGACCCTATTACCAATAAAATAAAATAAAATCCAACTGAATGCTACGCACAAAGGATAGTCTAAGAAAATGAAAATATTGGAAAGTTGAAAGTAAAGGGTGGGGAAAGATATGCCAGGCAAATTCTACCAAAAAGGATAAGGATCTAAGCTTTACATGCCATAGGGAGAGCTTCCCAATATGCACTTGAGAGATCTGGGGGCCACTCTCAGGTTGTTCAGGTAACTCCCCTTGTGACTTCTGGATAAGGGGCTTCCCTCTCTGAGCCTGTATTCCTACACTTAAGATAGGTAAGCTGGACTGTACAATCACTAACATCTTCTGAATGCAGAGAGATACAGATAAGGCTGAGCAAAAGGCTAAAATAGTAGTTCTCAACTGGTGGGTGTAAAAGCGTTTATCAGAATCAACCAGGGAGATTTTTCAAAATGCTGACTCCCTCCCACATATATCCTTTGATCAGCAGAATCCAGAGGGATCTGGGTGTGTATAGAAACCCGTTTTTTTTTGGTACCAGGGATTGAACTCAGGGGCTCTTAACTACTGAACCACATCCTCAGCCCTTCTTCACATTTTATTTAGAGACAGGGTCTCACTGAGTTCCTCAGGGCCTTGCTAAGTTGCTGGGGCTGGCTTTGAACTCGAAATCCTCCTGCCTCCCGAGCAGGTGGGATTACAGGCGTGTGCCACTGTGCCTGGCTACAAACACTCTTTCAGTTGATTTTGAGATTGCCACCTACCTCCCCAGTCATGCTAACGCATTGAGAACACTCAGACAGGAAAGAAAAGGCATTAGCAGTAAATTAAATTAAATTAATTAAGAATTAAAAATGCTAATTCCCAACAGAAGGAAAGAAGTCGGAATCGTGGTATGTCCCTGCTAAGGAATGCCAACACCTGGACAGCTTCAAGACATGAGTTCCCTTGGCAAGAGAGGCTCCCAGACCTTGGAACTTTTCTGCAGCTTCCTGGTACCCAGGCAAGAGAGTGGACATTGTGGTACTATTTGGGGACACTTGTACCTCCTCCCTGACATTCAGGAAGAAATCCTAAACAAGTTGAAAGAGCCTGAATCTGTCCATCCCATGGTCCTTGCTCTGTAGCCTCTGTGGAAGGAGCAGGTGCAGCTGGTGGCCCCAGATGCATCTCCAAACTCACCCACATCCTGCTCATGTCACTCAATTCACTTTTGTATCTCAGAGAGTCCTTCAGGACCTGCGGAGGGAAAGGAAGAGCCATGAGCGAACAGATGGGGCGGCCAGAGGACGCTGAGACTGGGCCTGGGAGGAGAGTAGAGCCCCACTGGGAGGCATCCACCAACCTCTCGTCAGTAACCAAAGGCTGAGAGGAGGGAGCCGTGTGGCAGTGGACCAGCTTGTGGCCCAGGCGCTTTACCCATGGGGTGCCCGGCCTCCCCTGCAGCCCCAAGGACTCACGTTCGGGTGTCCATCGCGGAGGACCTTGTGGAACACATGGCAGAACTTCCAGCAGAGCATGGCGTTGCTGGAGAGAGGCAGCCGGTTGACCACAGACCAGAAGGTCTGAGCGCCTTTCTCGTGGTGGGTGCCCAGGATGCATGGTGAAGGGGTCATGGAAAACAAAGGCACGAGTCCTGCCTCGGAGGCTGCTGGCCACTATGGAGGGCCAGGCAGCCGCACAGCCATGGCCTCTCCACCTGGGGGACACTGCTCAGCTAAGCCCCCACAGACCTGGACATTCATCTGCCAATACAACGCCTTGTTCTGGTAAGAGGTATTTTATGAGGCAATTTCCCCAGGGATGTGTCTGGAGAGAAGGGGTCAGTTTCTAATTTGCAGAAATCATCCCCTAGTCCATGAGTGGTCCTAGTGGCACTCCTTGAGTAAGCCAAGTGGGTGGTGGAGCCCTTGGGGAATAACTGTGGCTAACGCAGGGAACCCTGCACCCTGATTGGCTGATTCTCTGGGGTCCTCTTCTAGGAAGTAGTTCCAACTCCTCACAGGTTATGCTCTAAAAGCATTAAAACTTTCTTAATGGTGGATAAATGTGGAAACCTCTCATTCTCCTCAGCAGGGGTGCACGTGCCTGGTGGAGGAGCAAGTTTTGTTTAAAATGCCCTTCCTTAAAACTCCAAGTGCCTCTGGCACCCCACCTCCTCCACAGACCTCCTGGCCTGTTCAGGGGTGCCCTGGTCCTGGGACACCTTGAAACTCCTGCATGTGGAGTCCTGGGGTGGCTCCTCCCTGGACCCAATTCCAAATGCACCTATTGCCTGCAGGCTGCCTGCCACAGTCTGGAGACCAACCTGGCCTGGCCTTGGGTGGTTTTCAGTGTGTGTTGCAGATCTGTCATTAGCAGGCCCTTTCGGAGGCAGAAGAGGACTTCCCCATGTCTTCTGTGACGTTCAGGGTGGCATCACAGACCCAGGAACTGGGCACCACTGACCCTAAGTTCAGCTCTTTTTTTTTTTTTAATAATCGAATCAAGCCTTTATCGAAGCACATTGGTGGCGACTGACCAGAACATAAAGCTGTTCCCCTGATCAGCCCTGAACAATTGCAAGGGCACTCCTTATAAGCCTGAAATCTGCAAAAGTGATGTTCGGGGGCCTAGACAATGTAAGCAAGCCAGGTTACAGAAGCGGGAGAGTGCAATCAAGCGGTGGGAAGCCTAACCAATCACAGTTAGCCCAGTCACCCCAGTTACAGAAATGCTCATTGGGCTGTTTCCCCATACGGGCCACCAAATGCCACAGTCTGGCTGGGCACAATTCACGAGCCACTTATTAAGCAGGAATGAACTTTATTTTTTGAACGCACATGCCGCACCACGTGAGCTCTTCAGGAATTCCCTCAGAGCCCAACTGCCACCACCGGCTCTCCTGGCCAGCACCTCAACCAAGTTCAGCTTTTGACCCTGAACGTGGGCCCTCTTTATCCAGGCTTGGGTAAAAAATGCAGTGCTACTTAGGGCAGGGCACTGTGCCCAGGTCACAGGCTCAATGACTCATGCAGAACGCAGGTCACTGAGCTTCTGAGCTAGAAGGTGCCATTGTGTCCCTGTCCTGGATGAAATTTTCATCTCAAGGGGGGTGGGCTTCCTGTACTTTCAGGTCTGGACCAGAGAGCTGTTTTTGATGCTGGGGTGATCTTTGAAATAGTTTATGAATAGAAACTTTGGGATTCTGTTCAGAGGAGAAGGAAGCAACAAGGAGAGCCGGTGGCTCCCTCCCCTGGCACGGGGGTGGTGGTCACAGTACCTGAGCGTAGTCTCCCCGAACAGAAGCCAGAGCAGGTACCGGGCAAGTGGGCACCCGACTTTGAAAGAAGCCAGGAGAACCTTTTATCGTTCTTTTGTTTTATAGGCATTTTTTATGTCCGTGATTGAGTCAGGTACAGAAAGAAAATCTAAGACTCAGTCCAGGCTCATCACGAGGGGGACCGACTAGCTCCCCATTGAGGTTCCAAGATAAATGACTGTCTTCACAGCATTTCTGAAGTCACAATTCCTGAGGCTGACTCAGGTGGCACCCAGGACAGCTAATAAAAGACACATGTGTCTCCATCTCCTCCACCAGGCCCGTGTACCCCTGCTGAGGGGAATGGGTGGTTCCCACATTTATCCACCATTAAGAAAGCGTCAATCAGAGATTCACAGAATGACAGCACTGGACACTCACCTTCTGGAATCTTTGGCCAGCTCTTTAGTTTAACTGGGTCTCAGAGTGGGCCGGGGAGCTCCAGAGGGGAGTTGGAGTCTCTTCCAGAGGCTGCCTGCCCAACCCCAGGTAGCCTGCCGTGACGTGCATGGAGTGGCCCTGCCACAGCAGGCCTGGCCTCCCTCTGCAGAGCCCCGGCACCCAGAAGAGACCCTGATGATGACACCCCGCCCTATGTCAGGCTGGTCACAGGTTCTCTGCAGGCAGGGGTGGGGACAGAGTAGCCCTGAGAGAATCAACTGGCCACTTAAAACGAGGGCCTTCCTTGGTACATTTTTAATCCTGGTGAAAGAATCAAGCGTGGAACAGTAAAGAAGGGGCCTGGGCCTTTCCAAACAGAGGGGAAAGCCAACAGACCCTCCAGCGTCAACTGCTAGAGTGACTGGCTTTCACTGCGATTCTAGGAGCCACCCAACTGATAAGTATTGGGCTCCAGGGGTTTTGCTGTCCCTCTGGGGACAGTTCTGGGGATGGCCCCAGGGTTAACCACTAAGTTGTTTTTCAGGAATCTGGATGTGGCCTTGTGCAGCTCAAACTGGTTGAAGCCACCAATCCCTTCACCTGGGCCCATGAGAGTGTCCATGAGTGACCTTCTGACTCAGAGGGCCTAAGACTCCACCCATAGAGCACAACACCACCACCATTTTCTGAATGTGCCTCCAACCAGAGCCCTGATGACTGACTACCATGTGCAGATCACCCTCACTTCCCTTCTGACCCCCAGTCGCCCAGCACGACCTGTCCCCAGGGGCGGATTTGAGACCTGTTCTCCCTGCTCCACACTCAGCTGCCTTGTGAACAAACTGCAAAACTCATCCTTCCAGGGATCAGAAGTGTTCAGTAACACTTCTGGGGAAAATGGGCAAGAGCTGGCTGGGCTCACGCAGGACCCGGCTAGAGGCACCCAGTGGGTCCGGGCTCCCCACTCCAGCCCCGCCCTAACTTCAACCAATAAAGCTCACTGATCGGTGCTGGGGCCCCCTGGCCATGAACCTGCAAGGCCTCCCCAGGCCCTGAGGCCTGTCCTGACCTCAGGACAGGCCCTTGGGCCTGAGTGGCTGGGGCACAGCAACTCAGAGGAGCCCAGGCACCTGGGATTCCCCCGGCCATCCAAGGCCTGAACTCTGCCTGCCCTGCCCTGGGACACATCGCCAAGGCTTAGCCCACTGGGGGCCTCTTGCCTTCAGCTTTCAGGGATTAAACTCCCAAACTCTACCCTCAGGATGGATCAAGGGATCCATTAGCTAAAGTCGGCCTGCACCTGTCTACCAAGCCATAGAGCCATGTCGGTGGGCTTGGGGTGGGGACCTTGGAGAGGGGCATTTGAGTTACCAGTTCCCTGGTCCATTCTGAACTCCTACTTTCGTCCAGCATCTGTTGCACCTGTTCACAAGGATGGCTCTCACTCCCGTGCTGAGCCTCTGCCTCGGCTGAACTGCACCTGAGACTTTTTTTTCTTTTTGGTTTCAAGATCAGAAAAGGGGAAATGACCGTGGTGTCCCCTAAGGGGGTCAGTGTGGCCCTCTGGGCCAAGTGAGACCCTGGAGGGCTTTGCAAACAGGTGATAATCCTTCTGAGCTGCAGGAGGCCTCTCAAAGGAAAGCCACTGTCCATTGACCTGGTGGTCCCGGGAGGCCTCAGTCCACCCAGATGGCTCGTGGTCCCTGAAGCCAACTCTCCCTGGGAGCTGCTCCAACCTGGCTGCTCCTGACCTCAGTCCCCACCATCTGACCCCGCCAGGGTCGGCCTGGAGCAACATCCAAAAGGATATTTCTGGCATGTTTTTCCTTCACAGCCACTTCCTGCGTGTTAATGGCCTTATTGATGCTGACAGTCTGCAAAACAAGAGGGGGAGGGGAAAGGCGGGTGAAATGAATGAGACTCTGAGGGGGGCTGAGACCCTCTTGCCCCCGCCATGGCCTCCCTGCCCGCTGACCCCCTGCCAAAATGCCACTGGCTCCTTGGTGGACGCTGGGGGCAAAGGTGGGCAGTGCTCCCAGACCAGCTGGCCTGGCTGTCCTAAGGGAGTGGACTCAGTTGCCTGGCATTGGCTGTGCCCAGCTGCTGCGCCCGCCTGCCACTCACTCACTTGGCACAAGGAGGTGGCAATTAAAGCCGGCACAAAGGGAGGCTTTTCATCCCCAGGGAAACATTATTCCTCAGGGAGCAGGAGGGAGGGGCGCTGCTGCCTGGTGGATGGTGACCGTGGCCCAAACCCATCCTGCTGCCCCTCCATCACCTCTAGTCCCTCTAACCTCCCACGGGGACTTCCCTGGCAGGCCACTGTGGTCTCCCACCTTCCTCTCTCGGGCATTTTCTAACTCCCCCGGAAGATTCCCTTCTCTTTCCTTAATTACATCCAGAGGACATGAGAAATATCGCTTTCCAGTTGTTTTTATTTGGGGGACACCAGGGATTGAACTCAGGGTCACACTACCACTGAGCCCCACCTCCAGCCCTATTTTGTATTTTATTTAGAGACAGGGTCTGAGTTGCTTAGTGCCTTACTGTGGCTGAGGCTGGCTTTGAACTTGTGATCCTCCTGCCTCAGCCTCCCGAGCTGCTTGGATTACAGGCCCGAACCACCACGCCAGGCCTGGTCTCTTTCCATTTTGCAGAGCACAAATCCATCGCTATATCACTGACACAAACACATTCAAAGGAATCATGTCTCGGATGCACTTTTCTTCAGTAGAAATCTTTTCTTTTTAAAAAATTTTGTTCCATTCCCTCCGTGGACGTCATTTGCCCCTAAGTCATGGACAACACACCAAGCTGTCATCCGCAGGCTTTAAACATGCGATGGTCACTTGTAGACTTTCCCACATCTAGCTTTTCTCACAGGGAAACTATTTTCTGGACCTCTCCCCGAGTGCCCTGCACACCTGTTGCTCATTTTTGGAGATGCCATTCCACAGAGCTGGTGTCCTGAGTGACCCAGCCCGAGAGTGGAAACACCGAGACGGTGCATTTCCAGTCTCCCCACGGTCAGCTACTCAGTCAACACTCCTCCGTGTGCCTGTAGGGAGCAAGGCTTCTGTCTCCAAGGGTGGCTTATGAGAACTGGGGTGCCTGGGTTTAGGTGCTGTCGTAAGCTCCCATTATGGAAAAGCCTGGAGACACACACACACACGGAGACCAGCCTTAGGGCCCTGACACCAAGCCTTACAAACGTGTGGTCACACTGGCTTCCCAAGGGCCAGGGTCAGCAGACATTTTCTGGGAAGCACTAGTTAATAAATATTCTAAGCTTTGCGGGCCACATGGTCCCCATCAGTCTCAAGGCTGCCTCTGAGAAACACATACATAAACAAATGATCATGGCTGCACCCAATAAGGCTTTGTTTTCAAAACCAGGTGGTGGCTGGCCTCAGCCCTGCAGCTGTAGTTGGCAGGCTGCCCCTCCCCCATTCTATACCACCAGCCACTGACCAGTCAGTCTGTCCTTGGATTATTCTGAAGGAGAGTCCAGACTCTGTATCATTTTCTGTTTTTTTTTTTTTTGGTCCTGGGGATTGAATCCAGGGGGACCAAACTACTGAACCACATCCCCAGCCCTTTTTACTTTTTGAGATAGGATCTCGCTAAGTTGCTGAGGCTGGCCTCAAACTTGCCATCCTCCTGCCTCAGCCTTCTGAGTCCCTGGGATCACAGGCATGTACCACTGCTCCTGGCTGACACCGTATCACTTTCTCAGTAAATCACCACTCCTGGTGACTGTGAAAAAGACTTAACCGGCTCAAGTTGGATTAGGGACTTCTAGGTCCCTTCCCACGGCTAGACAGTAAAGGCCATCAGATGATGGAGGGTCCTGGATACCAGGGCAAGAAGTAGTGGGATGTGGGGGCTGGGGATGTGGCTCAGTTGGCAGAGTGCCTGCCTCACATGCACAAGGCCCTGGGGTGGGGACCCACAGAAGGTTCTCGAGCAGGGGACTTGATACAGATATCCCTCCCTCCTCCTGAAGCAGGAGTGACTTCTGCAGCGCTCTAACCAGGGAGAGTGTGGATGTTTGCCCACTGCACCATGGGGCCTGGCCTAGGTTAGGGCCAACTAAACCAAAGATCCAAGGAGCATGCCCGGCCCTCCTCTTGCAGCAAGGCCCGAAGGCAGAGGCCTTCTTGTGGACGGAGGCCTGGGGCCCAGCTTCCATGGCCAGGCTGCTCAGGGCTCCGAGGCACCAGGCAGGGCCGAGCTCAGCTTTCTGAGCCCTTGTGGTCAACCTGAGGCCCTCCAGGACCCTCGGATGTCAGCTACCTCGAGGTCACCAGGCAGAAGTTCCTGGGGGCCCAGCTCCGTTGCTTTAATAACACTTCAAGCCTGGGACGCCACCTCTCTATCCTTCCTATGTCACACGACCCCAACTACCAACATTCTAAATCCTGTCCTAGTCTCAGACCAAAGATCGCATTTTACCATTTTCTAGAACTTTCCAAGCTACTGGGGCAAATCACCTATTTTTCTTTCTTCTTTTTTAAAAAAGAACTCTAGTTTCTCTTAATGTAGCCAACACACATGTTGCCTTTCCTCCCCACCAGGATAAAGGACAAAGGGGATGCAGCCTTGTCCCTCTATACAGGCCCACTGCTGACCAAAGGGCAGAGGGTGGCGGGTGGCGGATGCACTGTGGCTCACGGCCACACAGGACAAAGTCCTTCCCATCCCTGTCGGCAGCAGGCTCTGCAAGACGTCACTTGGCCTGAGGTGGGGCCTACCTGCAGGCCAGGGCAGTGGGGGCAGGGCTCCCGGGCACAGGGTGGGCAGTGGGGCTCAGCGGCTCACCTCTGGAGGGGGCTCTGGGCTAGAGAACATCCTCTGGGAACAGGCTGTTCTCCAGATTTCCCTGGAGTCACACAGGACCTAAGACCAGCCGAGTCTCCCCTCAAAGAGCGGCATTGTGCACCACTTCCTGCCCGCTGGCCCCGGTGTCGCAGGCTGGCCTCAGAGAGCCAATTACCAGCAGGCACCGCAGGAAGGGCGGCCCTCTCCTCCCCTCAAAGCCTCGGCCTCCCTCCTGCCCCTCCCCAGCCTGGTGGCCCTGTCAGGCTGTGGCCAATGGGTGTCCTTGGGGCTTCACTTCTGTGGGAAGCGGGGCCTAGGCTGGCCAGCTGGGCCCTGTCCGGTCACACACACAGCTCTGGGCAGGAGCCCAGCCCTTGAGTGCCAAGGCCAGCCCAGCTCATGGCAGGGCGGGAGGATGTGCTCGGGTGGGGGTGGCACCACGGGTGGGGGTGCAGCCCTGAGGGCAGAAGGGAAGAGGGAAAGCAAGAGGAAGGAAGGAAGAGACAGCAGAGAGCAGGAGGGAGCCTCCGTTTGAATCTGGTTGGTCCACTTGCCGAAATTCGACTGCCATTGGCTAACTGCCATGGTGTCCTTAGGAGGGGGGACCTTGAGAGGTGACTGAAAGGACGGGGTCAATGCCTTTCTGGAGTGGGTTCGTTCTCAGGAAAGCGGGTCGCCACAAAGCAAGGCGAGGCGGCCTCTTCTGTCCAGCTCCTTGGTTTATTCCCTGTGTGGTGCTGGTGCTTGAACCCAGGGCCTCAAGCGGCCTCCGCCAGTGCTCCACCATGGTGTCCAGCCTCCTTCATACACACTCACTTGCTTTTGCCTTCCAATGTGAGTTGAAGAAGCAAAAGGCACTGAGCAGACGCCAGGGCCTTGCTCTTGGACTTCCTGGCCTCCAGAACTGTGCACTACATACACTTTTTTACTTTATAAATTACCTAGTCTCTGGTGTTCTCTTATAGCAAACAGAAAATGGACAAAGACAGAGGGAGAAGCAAGCATTTATCTGCCCAGGGGAAGGCCTAGGGCCAGTGGCCTCAGCAACGCCTGCCCACGGTGGCAACTGGGGACTGGAACCGGCAGGGCCTCATGGTGCCAGCTCATCTTACTAGTTTTGGAAAGTTACAGAAAACAGCTTGGGAGAGGGGGCTTGGTCCAGCTCTCAGCCTCCTCCCAGCCCAGCCCGTATTCCTGCTACTGGTTCTGAGCTGCGTGAACCAAAATCCTCCCCCAGGTGCCTGGTCCTGAGATTCAGGGCTCAGCGGGCTCCTTGGGGTCCTCAGTCCCCCGGGGAGTAACAAGGCTGGCGATGGGGAAAGGCAGGGTGAGGCCTGGAAGGGAGAGACTCACAGCCAGCACAGGTGGGCAGCCACGGGGAACAGCTGAGACATCGGGCCTGAGCCAGGGTGGTAGAGAGGGCTGGGGCCATGTCGAGGCCAGAGGACCTGTGACAGTGAGGGAACAAGCAAGGGAGAGGAGGCTGGGCAGCACTCGGCGGCGAGGTGTCTGCAGCATCAGTGAGACTAATTCTTTCAAATTGTCAAAATTAACAAGAGTACAGAGGCTCCTTGGGTGATGATGGGATCACGTTCCAAAAAACTCACTATACATTGGAAATCCTGTTAAGTCAAAAATGCATTAAGCCAGGTGTGGAGGTGCAGGCCCGTAATCCAGCTACTTGGCAGGAGGGAGGCTGAGGCAGGAGGATCGCAAGTTTGAGACCAGCCTCAGCAACTTAGTAAGACCCTGGTTTCAATAAATAAATAAAAAGGGATTGCAGATTGCTCAATGCCAGTTCCACACACGCAGGCGCACGGACACACACAAAGCATTTACGACCCCTCACTAGTGGACACCGTGGTTGGGCCTGGGCTACTTCAACACGCTCAGAACACTTACATTAGCCCTCTGCTGGCAGGTGGTCCACACAAAGCCTATTCCATACAAAAGTGCCGAAGGGCTGGTGTCATTTACAGAACCGCTGCGGGACACCTGCGTGGGCTCACTTTCACGCCATCATGAAGCTGAGACACCTGAAGTTGATCCCTTC